TTACCCACATCATGCTACTATACGCGGAGTTTAGTGAAATACTTTCACTTGTAGCAGGCTAATACACGTGGACTACCTACAGTGAAAGTTGAAATCGCTCGGATACCTAGTTCTGGTTAGCTTGGAACTAGATGGCGCTATTTATTTTTTATAATCAGTGGAAGTAACGAGATATTGTGAGGAATAAGCGATTAAAAACATGTTTAGCTTGTATTTTACCTGAACAGAAAAAGTTTTGAAGGCGTAATAAGCTTCACAAAATAAAATATTATTCAGCTGTTTAAATTATTTAGTTGAATTAAAAAATGCAATCAGCACAATAGCAGTCACTTGTTAGTGCTTACTAATGTAATAAAAACTGTACAATATGTGTAATACTGATCCAATGACAATACTAATCTACAATCAAGCTGACAAATTAAAATACTAATGAATTTTTTACAATAACAATATCAAAAAAATTAAATTTTTGTGTTATGGAATAGTTATAAAGTAAGACAGTGCAATTAAAATTATTTTGAAAATGTTTTCGATGTCTTCGAAAATATTTTTTGTTTTCTTTGAGTAAGCCAATTGATTCTGACGATTAAAATATATTTTTATACGTATGCATTAAAAATAATATAATTTGTAAGACATAGTGTCAGAACAAAAGTATAAACAGATATCAATCGATGGATGCGTGTACCATTGTGTGGTTTCCTGGATAAGGCCAAGTGGTTGTAAACGGCACACAATTGTCAGTTGACTGACCAACGACCGACAATTGCTTAACACTGCTGTAATTGATGGTTCGAACATTTTGTCATGCAAGGCGCACAATGTACGTAGTGATATTGTCGACGAATGGAGAGAAAATAATTTACATGGTTTCATGTTTTCTTAGCATCTTTTTCGATCAAGTACGTAAGGGTTTACTTTCGTTCGTTACAAATTTGGCTTCGAAACTCTGTAAACAGTCGTCTGTGTGGGTAACTTTATTTCAGCAGCTTGCTTTGTAAGCTGAGGTTCGATTAAAGATCTTCTACAGTTCAAAAAGTAGTCTCGAACAAATATTATTTTATTGGTGTAATGTGGGATCTAGAATCAATGTTTCCTATATGTTATTTTTATTGCTGTAGTATATTATCATTTACTTTCTCCTACCGTTTTTGCACATATATGACTTTGACTGCCTTGATTTTATTTAAATAGTTAAGTAAAAGTATTTTATTATTACTTCAAGAATCTGATTTCATTGCCAGACATTTAAGTTTCACTTATTCTTACATACATGCCTTCATATTTTATAAATTAATTAGGTACTACATATAATGTACCATATTATTGAAAGTAATAAAATAAAAATAAAATTTTGGAGTGCAAATTGATTATTACTAGTATATTATTAACCCAAGTACATATATGTTTTAATACTTTAAAACTTTAGGATATCCTTAAGAATAAATACAGCCTTTATTACTCTGAATAGGGTTATATGTACAATTTTTAGAATAGGTTTGATAGACTCGGAGATGAGTGTTGAGGTTGTCGCTCTCGATTAGGTACCTCAATGTTTATATCAAATTTTATCTCGTAATTTCGAATTAAAATGCAGCTGACACTTAATATCCAAATACACATTTTTAATTCGCCTTTAAGGGGTTTCTCAATTTGACTGCTTTTAATATTTTTGTTTAGTCTAGTCTACTTATCTCTATTATACAATTGATCAAGATCAGGAAGTAGTTTTTTCATGCCTTTTCACGAAATAATTATGAAATTATTATTATTATTGTTACATTCCTAATAAAATTAAAATGGTTTTTATCTCTACTGTATTTTATAAATTAACGATGATGAGTGATATGTATTATCTACGTTTGTACACACATATTGGTTATTAGCAATAATTCAAATATAGGCTTATTATCCTTAAAAACATGCTTTTAAAAAGCAAGCTTTTAAAAAAATGTATTTCGTATTTCAGAAGGTAAAAATAATACTCATCAAGAATGTGAATGTGTTGTACAAATACGCAATGACTACTACTATGCTAGTACACTATGTGTTGTAACATGTTTACTTTCATAACTAGGGTTTGAACTTGTGGCATTCTTATTGCAATTACTATATTACCTTAATGTATTGCCCATTTGTTTTAAATTAATTATAGTTTTTTTTTTTATTTTTTACCCCTACCTATGCCGCATGGCATTACGTTTTTTTACATTTTGTGACACCCAAAATTATACTATGTGGCAAGCACATAGGGCACTAATTGTTATTTATCAGCTTTTTAGTATTATTATTATTTTGTGTTTAATTTTCTTAACTTTCTTAGGCTCGCCCCTTGTCACATTGTATTTAAAATATACTTAGCTAATTTTGTGCAAGTCAAGTGTTGCGTTCACCATGACAACAATAATTGATAATGCTTTTGACTGCCCCATCTGTAATGATATCTGTGATCGTATGTTTATTTTCCTAGCTAAATTAGCAGACTTGATATTATTTGTGATGTTATTATTCTTATTGAACGTGTCAATATCACAATGACATATAGTTTGGTGAAGCTGTAAAGGTCAGCTGCGACCAAAAGCATTAGAACAGTTGAAAAAAAATCGCAATGACAAAGTATCAAGTCATTTACCTATAATTGCACATGAATGATTGGAAAAATATGAAAATAGCGTAAGGTTGGCCGGTTCGAGTAGAAGTTTTGACCTACTGGTTCGCCTTAATTAAAAACTTGTTTTACAAGTAATTTGCGAAGGATATGCAGCATATAACCGTAATACTAGATACAAAATTGTGAACTTGCTGTATCAAAGAATCGTATGGTTGGATAGGATATTTAGGATATCGCTTCTGAAAATAAATTCAAATAGGAATTAGTAGTTGAATGAAACTTGGTGTAATGTAAACGATTCCTTAGATGAAAATACAGCATTGGGTATACAGGCATTTTTGTTATATTGAATACGTACATATTAAGAACTCTTTTCGTTCACAGATATATGGGACATATCATATTATGTCACTACTACTCTACTACAAAGAATTTTAATTTGACAATTTCACTTTGATAAAGTTTGACTGAGAACCTATCATTTTGAAGATGTAGATTCCGTAATTTTGACGTTAGTGGGTTCGATTGTCGGTCGCTGGGGGGCGTACAATGTGCATAAGTATGCCGAAGTAATGTATATTTGCAATCTATATGAGAACCGGTAAAATGAAAGGTAAATTTCAGGAAAATTTGTTTGTTGTAATGTCAAAGAAGAATTTGATTTTGTACATTATTCATTAGATCAAGCACATGACCAAATAAATTGTTATTGTAAAAAGTACGTAATCGGTCCTCCCAGGCCTTCCTATTTTAGTTGCCAATGTACTTACTTAGGACGCGGATAATACAACAAATTACAGGATGAGAGGCATGACAACTTAGTTCTCAGAAATGATATCGCATGCTTCAGTTAATAACACGATGTCCGTAGTGCTGTTCACGTATGTCATGACCACTTCTAGTGAAAACCTAGAGGAAACGTTGAGAGACCTGATTAATTATACTAATAGTACGTATATAATTTTCGGTTAGGTACCACTTACCGTCAGTTGCACTTTGCCATTGCAATTAAACATAAAAAAATATTGTGTTGTTTGTGGACAAGCTTTGGAGGATAAATGAAACACTTTGCTAGAATGTTTTCGTTTGAAACACAAATCGAACTTGTGGACTGTTATTGCGACATTAGTGACAAACAGGTCATCGCAATCGTGATGTGGTTAAGAATTAAGTTACATGGTCAGTGAACACCCTAACTCTACTGGGTTTTGTATTATCTGTATCTGTGGTCTTTGACTGTCTTTGGTTTCATAATTGTTTTTAACAGAATAATAGACAGTCACTGTGTAATATTCCCCTAGCTTACCTACATTTATTGTCTTTATTGCATACTATATCTCTTATAATTTCTCTCTAGTATAATACAAATATGGATCTGATATAAATATTCCATTTCATCATATTTGTCACTGTCTCTATCAATTTCTCCTTATATTTTCTAACATAATATATCTACAACGTTAAAAAAATAAACTTCTTTATTATATCTTCCCGATTCTATTAGATATTATTTACATACGTACCTGATTATATTCACTTTCTAGTAACGTGTTTCATCATATTGTTTTTACGATATACTTTTTTGTTCTTGTAATCTGTGATAACTTGTTGGTACCACTTTCTTCTTTCTTTTTTGGAGATCATTTAATTTTTTCACCTATTTAAATTTACCAAATGGCTGAAAAGACTGTATTTGTATTAAAAATATGTTCAATAAGGTATTCTGGATACTAGACTAAATCAATCTTTTCCAGATTCTCTCTTTTTAGCACTGTCAATAATAAAGGATAAGTACAAAAATTAGTTTTAAATATTAAGATTTTACATCACCAATCATCTATTTAAAAAATGTATAAATTGGATCATCCTAAGTAAATAGTGCCTCAGAACAAAAGATAAAACAGCTATAGTAGACAAAGGTTGCTATTTCATTTACTTTATTGCACGACCTTTGTTTTACATTATCAGCGTTGTATCTACTTACTAGTAAATATGAAATTCGTAAGTACATTCGACATATTAATAAATAAAATCTTATTAGGATTAGGTATAGCGATTAGTAATTATGCTGCTATGATAAATTACCTTTACTTTCTTAGTATTAAGGTGACCTGAGTCACACAACATTTTGAATATTTATTTAAGTTACTTACAATGTTAAAAATGTTATGACATAAAACATAAACATACAACATGATCACCGTTTATTACAAAAATGTAAATACGAATCTACTGTATGTATTATAAAATCTAAAATATAAGTTCAGTCAACGTGTAGTTCACAAATGTATTTCTGAATGTAGTCTGCTCAATCATCGCATTACAATAAGTCTCACACAAGCGCGCACGCAATATCAAACATTTGCGTGCCGTTCAGTTTAGCGTAGTCCGTGCGCGGGCGCCGACGCTCTGCTTTCTTTTACACCCGCTGTCCTCGTAATCGCGATCTGTGTCAGATATACATTTTTCAGTCTACACTTCTAAATAAATCATATTAAAGTGCAATAGAATATAGAATACATATCAATTCCTCCGTAAATCTGCCATTTGTGTTCATTGTTTATTTATCAAGTTAATTAGGTAAGCTAAATAGTCTTTTCCGGCGTGAACAGCTTAATTCGTACCTATTATAAATTTATAGTCGATTTCACTTTCGGTCTGATACGGTGCCGGTGCAATTGGAAATTGTTTGTCACATTAACTAATTCTGGACCCCTCGAACGATGTTATGAATAATGATCGCCGATTGGTGTAACAACCACTCCACTCTAGCCATTGTGCGAATCTTCAAAGGCTGGTGTTATAAAATGTTCTCTTTAATAGTAGCCTTGATACACTGTACTTAACACGCGTTATTGAGTCTAAGTGTTTCATGACTACACTAGCTGTGAACCACGACTCGTGTTTCACGTGCCATATTGATTTACCAAAGAAACATTATGATTTCCTCAAAACATCACATTCAAGTCTACTCAAGTTATTGCTTTGTGTCTCGTGTGTTTATAATAACTGTAGGCTAGCGTTGAAACATCATTTGTATTTTATAACAATCGTAACCCATTTTGAATTTTCTAATAATCGTTAGTTTCCTCAAAATTCACATTCTAGTCTACCTGTAGTATTACATAATAGTGAATAGAGATATGATAAAATATGATTAATTGTATTTAGTTTAGCTATGATAAGCCTCATTTTCCCATTTATATTTGATTTTTCTAAGGTAGATAATACGATTAAAATGTTTTTTTTAATCACTAGTTACTACTAGTCATTCTTGGACAAGCACAGCTGTCTCTAAGCAATATATTCATTGTAATTATACTCCTATAAAGTACGCTAGATGTCTAACGGTAAATGATATCCATCATGTACGGCTCATTATTTGTGAAAGTACGAAATTCCAGTAATACCTACTTTTCGTCAATGTATAAACAAGCAAGGAAACCAATTTCAAGGAACCTGTTTTATATTTTTATGATATTTAATTCCGAATTAAAAATATACATTGTTTCAGTAGGTATATCTCATCTATATATTTTCAAAAAGAAACTTAATAGTACATTGTCAAAAATATAAACAAGTTTCTAGGTAGCTTTTATTAAGGCGTTAAACGAAATCTATAACCATAAAGAGTAGGTAATCTGTAACTACATCTAACGAGTCACATTCATTTATCTACAAAGTTTAGAAATTTGTTCCTTATCATCATATTTATGTTTTCTTAACATTCCTTGAATTTTCCGACGCTTTTTAATAGTAATTATTTTTCTCTAGAGCTTTGTTTTGATTATGAGAATCGAAACAAAAACTGAGAAAAGTACCTACTTATTGCATGCGTTCAATCATACTAGAGTATATTGAGTACATATAGTGCGCATTGTTTCAATTTGATTAACCTTCAATATAATTTAATTCATGAAATGAAATCAAACAAAAGACATAAAAGACTACAATCCATAATATTTTTTAAATTATATTCATGGAACCTCTTGTTCGTGTCCATCTAATGAAAAGCGAACCTTCAATTTTCTAAGTACATAGTCTAGAATGTGTAGTAGTGTGTCTTAGTTATTCTAGATAGGTTCGCTTCTTATGATTCGATTAGTAGTGCCACGTTGGTCTGAAGACTTGGTTGAATACTACATTTAGAATACATAAGTATTCGAGTTTTGCATCGCTTACTTCGAATTATTGTACTTGTATTCCCGCTATATTTTAAATATACTGGGATTCAAAAGCATCTTGACACAACCTATTCTTACTCTTTCATTTTATGTACCAAAGAAAGAAATATGGAAACATTAGATTATAAAGCATTATAATTTCGCAGTTTGTCATAGTTCCTTCCGTCGTCGTGTGCAGGATACAAAATGTATTGCTACTGCATTTCTTTCGCAGGTATTGGTGGAGTAGGTTCCGTTCGCAGATTATTTTAGATCTTTTGGTTATTTGGGCTAATATAACAAAATTGAGTATTTTGTTTCATCACGTAATGTTATGTGTAACTATACTGTTGCAAAATCGCTTATTTTCGCTTTCTTGATCACAGTATATTTACAGTCGTTATGACTGTATAAAACGCTATTTCAACTCTTAAAAATACTTAATTATTTTCTTGTTGAAACTGACAGTCTAGAAAGTTATAATTTAAATTAGTGTTATATTATTTAACCTTTTGTTACAATTCAACGCTATAAATTATGTAACAAACATCTTTTGTATTACTTACACTTCATGTGTAATCTCTATAAAAGAGAACTGACTGTAACATTATAATTTCTAAATAGTCTTCTGTGATTTCGTTTGGCTACTGTTATTTATATTGCCTAATTTCACCCTTGAGTGCAAGTACGACCATCAATACATGGATTTGACTATATTTTTTTAACTTGATTCCAGAACAAAGAAGCAATTAAAATATCTACAAAAAACTTATTGGTTAATTTTCAATTTTAATACACACAGAATGTATTAAAATTGAAAAATATAAGTGTCTGATTGGAGGACTTTATCCTACAGCTAATATAACTATATGTACATATATACGCCATAGTCTCCGTAAATTATTCGATGCTTTAGTAGTTTGAATTTTTTGTTATTTGATTTCTATATGTTAAAATATATAAATATATTTTATTGTAACTCTATTTGTCCCTCGTGAAGCATGAATTATTGATAAGATTACAGTTGTAACCCCCTTCAGAGCCCTCATTTGCTTACAATGGATCTTGACTCATTGATCATTGCCTCATACAGTACGTGGGATCCTGAAATGTTAGCGATGTCTTAATTGAGTTCACACTACCAATTTTCCACTTCTTAGCATTTCAGTAGTTTTGGTTATCGGGCACTAATTTCTGATGGCGTCATTATACACTTTACCTATGGATATTCAAAGGCTACTGAACTGGTAGTGATTTAGCCGAGGAAGCAAATAAACATAAGACCTCCCACATTATGTATAAATGTACTTTTTTTGTAACATTAACAGTAAATTCACACACAATCGAAACATAACGTTAGATAACTACAATATCCATGATAATTTACATTTAGGTATGACACCCACTTTCCTTGTGATTAAGAATGATTATGGCATGATTATATATACATATACAATGAGAATAAATCTGAAATGGAAATACTATCAATAACTTTTTTAACAATCCCTTGTTAACTAAACTACGCAAAAAAACCTTATGTCTAATAACGTAACACAGTAACAATAGCATACAGAGATATGTCACTTGAGATAGTCACAACTAAACCCAAATAATTACATACATGTATCTGACTTGTTGGATTATCCTTTCAAGTTGTCATTTATTTAGGTGATAGTAGGAGTGATTAATTATATTAATCAGATGTAATAATTTGCAGATTAGACAAAGGTTAGTACTAATATTAATCCATAGTAACTACACACATTGTTATATGTAGACTGGTGATTAAATCTCTGGTAGGTTCTCACCAGGGATGTTATGGATATGAAATTTCGGATACGGATAGGTTTCGGATATACAAATGATTATTATATTAATATTATACGGATACGGTTATGAAATTATTTCTGATTATCCGTTAGTTTCGGATAATTTCGGTTACGGATATTATTTTTTTATGGAATTCCAAAAGTAAAATACAAATAACTAATAAACCGGTTTTATTTATATGTGTCAAAATTTGGGAGAAATTACAATCAGTCTCAATTAGGCTCCGCCCCTATCCGATATTATACGAAACTTTTATTTCGGATTCGGTTACGGTTACGGATATTTTTTTATATCAGATATCAGATGGTTTCGGTTATGGTTACGGAGCTCCCTAACATCCCTGGTTCTCACAGCTTATTTTATGACGGCGATTTGACGTTAGTTTAAAATTTTAAATAGGATAAGTGTTATATTTAATCGATAATGCATGTGTTTATATATGGTTTATGTATATGTTATATTAATAATGCGTGTTCTATTCTAGTTTAGTCTAATACTTTTATATATGTAATTTATATAATCAATGTTAAGCCACCATTAAGTATTTCTGCACTTCCCGAAGGTTGACTGGTAGAGAATGCCTATAGAATTAAGTCCTCCTTATGTATCATAATTTATCAAAAAGTTTAAATAAATAAATAATTTAAGAAAAGCCCCTAAGGAAAGCCTACCCCTAATAATAATAAATATATCCAAAAAAATCGAAATGAACAGGCTTGGTAAAATAGTTCATAACATTCAATAAATCAGTATATTTGAATTACATTCCTTGGAGAACACTTGATAAAAAATTTTTGAAAAGAAAATTTTACTGGATATAAGTTGGGTAAACCACAACCACCTATGGGCCTAAGCAAATGAAGCAAAAACTCTATCACCTCTCTTATCAGCCTTCGTTTCTAATTTTAATCACACATTAAAAGACATGTGTCATAAAATCACGCCACATTTCGTGTCAGGCAGGGGTCATCTTTTGTTTTGTTGTCATGCATGTGTAAATTATCGCACATGTAATAAACCGCGTGATCACCTCATAAACGTAACGCAAAAAGTATCTGTAGGTATGTGTTGAGATGATAAACAAGATTTTCAATGATTGTTTCATTTACATTAGATCTAACAAATTGTAATTGTAAACGTGTTTGTAGAACGGAATAACTTTTCCTTGATATTGAAATGTGAAAGTAATTTATGAATCTTTCAGATCACGTAATATTTTTTTACGCTGAAGTAAAATATGAGTATACAGAATAAAAATTACGTGACATATTTGTTTTGCAGTTTACCGTCAACATATGGGAATTGTAGTATGACATGCATAGAAAAAGGAAACAAAGTGTATCTGTGTAAGATTTTATTAAAATGCGAATAATTTCTTACTAATTTTATTTAAATAAGTAAGAGATTAATTTATACTAAAATAACTCCCTCACTACTGATTTAAGTAATTCAAACTATATTTTATTGTAACATTTTAATTAATGCTTTTTTTTGTAAATACTTTCCTCTAACAATTAATTAATAACTATCCATATCTTACCTACAAAGAAGTGTCGTGAAGTCACATTATTTTATATCAGCACAAAATTTTGAAAGGCCTCGTTTAAAAGTTCATGAATAACATGATAATATTTATAATGTCATTGTGTTAATTAATATTTTCAGATATTTACAATGTAAGTATCAATTAGAGTTCAACATATGTCACACCACTGCATACTCTCAATTTATATTGTACAATCTTAATGTAGGTACAACAGTCCGAAAATTACGTCAGATCGCACTCAGATAATTCGCATCATATACATACATAATTTGAGTTTGTTGCGTGGTAAAGTTAGTTAATACAAAACTATAGTAAACATAAACTATAGTACTATAGTAAAATCTATTTATAATGCAGTGGCTACGAAAAAACCAACACAATCGATCTTGATCAAATTTACATGTACCACATGAAAAGCACGAATAAAATAATTACATTATAGAAATAATAATAAGAAAAGGCAGAATATATAGTATACCTACCAAGTAAAAAATGCTCGTAATTACCATGTCCCAATTTGACTATCGCACATAGTTAAAAATAGCTGTCAAGGATCCAATATAAAATTCTCTCTCTCTCTCAATGTTAATATAATATATGTGTCATGTTTTTGACCATTTTTCAGTGTTAAATTTTTATAGAAATACACCACGAAATTATTAAATTTGATAAGATTTTGTATTCAATCTTTCGGTAAGCGATTGCGACCTAACATGCACACTTGTGACAACAAAGATCCATACTACGATTGCTGAGATATATGTATGTGGCAATCCCAGTTTACTTATTTATTTCTCGATATTTTTGCAGTATAATAAATATTTTAACTACTTTTTAATAATTACTGCGGCGGTCAAATTATATTATATAAATTTAATGTGTGTGTAGAGCACACGAGTAATCATAAACCTTTAAATATTATATTTGGTGCCCATGGCAATAACTTATAAAATTTTGAAGTATCAACATGTTAAAAATTTTATGTATATTTTTGGGTCTGTGCTTGCCTCCTTCTTCTTCTCCCATTGGGCTAATTAAATGTGAATACCATATTTTAATAACAAAGGACACTATTAATGTTTTTCCGATATAATACGGACTTTGTCCAGTTCAACAGTTCATAATTTATCACTCATTTAGGTCGGTCTTATTAATTGTTCATTATATGACAACGTGTTTTACTAATGATCATACGAGCCTTTGCCGCCACACCACGTCGATGTAAATCGTTTATCGCATGAAGATTCTCTCAGTATCAATTGGCCTGTGGCGCCGTACACTCGTATGGATAGACTTTAGTGTAGTGATTTAAATTCAATAACGAATATTATATCGATGTTTTTTTAATTTCAGTGATAAATAGAATAGAGGACTTTGTGGATCGAATTTATTGGTTTTATTGATATTGATGTTATCTTGATAAAGATAGACAGTCAAAATTTACCGGTTCAGTGGAGTGTTGAATTGTACTTTGGGTGATGTAGTGGACTTTGAGGGTTGGAATTGGAACTGTAGCAGGATGGATACGATGATAAATGTGTGGGCTGTGGTTGAGCACGTGAGGGTGTCCAGCGGTGCTGCGGAGCTGGCCATCTTCACGGCTATACTGTACTGGTTCTTCACTTCAAGGTTTGTTTTTCCTATTGAAATATGTTAATTTGGTGTATAATATTTTATAATATTACACCTTTGTCTGGGTCTAATCTTATGGAGCAATTATTTAAGTTCATATTATACTAAAAGAATTAAAAAAAAATAATAAGAACACTCATTCCATTCAAAATTAGTATAATCCCAAAGACGGTTACAATTACAAAATAAGTCTCGTTTTAGTATCGATGAACATACAAGTAAAGCTTAACATTAGAAAAACTAATATGTATAATGGAATTGCGAACGTCCTTTGTTTGAAGTACAATAAATAATTTTATTCCATAGGCATGTATATATGTAATACATTTTAATTAAGTTATTGTCTCTACTGAATAATATATTTACGGAATATCAAATTTGCTACTATTAAGCTCAATCACATTACAAGTTTTTTTCGTTATTTTATACATATAGTAGCAGAAAAATATTTTTTGTCTATAAATAAATTTGAGGAAATATAATAACTGTCCCAAAGAAAATGTTCGATGATAATGAAAATTCCACTTGTAAGCTGTTAATAAGTAATGTTTTTGCTGCGTTTTGTTTTTTGGTCTTTGAATCACTGTTAGGGGTCTCCATCAACCTTATCAAATTCCTATATTATTAATTCCAAATATTAATTTTATATACAAACTAAGGTGACCGTTTTGTTTCATAATTAGTTTATTAACGCATTACATTGTTAATATTATATTATTAGGAAATTTTGAAAATGCAATCTGTTTCGGTTTACTTTCTAACATTAATCAAAATCCACACATCTATAATTTGTCGAAGAAAAACTGATTGGGCTGACTTAATAATTAATATACTCGGGTTCTATAGTCAAACTACGTGTTTGTATAAATCAAGGTAACCCAAGAAGAGTAAACAAATTAATATCTAGTTTCGTATTTATCATTGTTATTTATCGATTAATTTTTGTATAAAAATTATAATAATTTTTAAAATAAAACAATCATCATAATAATTATAGTCTCCTAATACTTAGATGAAATGCTTTTATTATAGGATTTACGTCTTTAACACGTGAAGAGTAATATACACTGATATCGTTAAAATCACGCCTTATAATAAACAATAGGTTGTTAAACAGGTATAAAAAGAACTATTAAAAAATAAAAGAAAGAATATATCTAGCAATGTAAATTGTCTTATTCCGAGTTGAAATAATAATAACGTTCTCTGTGCACCAAAAAATAAAAAGAATTTGCGGCCGTAGCTTCAGAGTTACGCACTGTACCTGTGGATTTGGAAAAAGACATTTTGTACGCAGATTAAGTTATACAATGAAAGTGATACCCCATTTCCTGTATGTTGCCAGTATGCAATAAAAAAAAAACTTGTGCCAAAGATATCTTATCCCCTTTAAAGCAAAAATATTTAAACACAAGGTAAACCCCAACTGTATCGCTGTCTCTGTTACTGTACACATCTGCATTATACTGAATTTAAATAAGATCACGGGAGCCATGTAATCAGTCTAACGGTATCATGCAAGCATTATATGTTATTATATGTTTGTAGGTGAAATCAATTAGATTAATAATATTAAGTATAATTTGTGGTACTATAGTTTTAAGACATCATTGCGGAATAATAATCAGACTTCTTTATGCTTTTGGACTATAATAATACAATTTACAATAATTAACTATCTGGCTGAAGCTTACGATTCCTCTTTTGGGAAGAAGAAGTAACGGATTGAAGTATTTTTTATTTTGAAATGCATTGCATTGCTCTTGTTTCCAATATATATTTTGCATACCGCTAAACAATCATTTGCTTGCGGCATTGAGTAAATAAGATTATACATAGTCATTGTCTTAAAATTTAATACTAGATTGTTTTTTTTTTGGAATTATTTAAATTAGCTTGTTTCGGTACTCTTTATTAGAATTGTTCTGTATACAACACAATGATTTGCCGAATGACAATATAATACATTGTAGTAATGTACGTCTTAGATTCATAAAATATATTTTAAATTTTCTAAAGAAATACTATGTCACATATTATTATGGTTATAATGAAATTATATCAACATTATGTATCTGATATTTGTTTGTTTCACTTTATAATAAATAGACAAAAGTAATAGAAATAATTATATGACGATAATAATTATTTAATATTACTTTATTAATTATATTATATTATTTGTAACTAGCGAGGTCCTTTACGAAATGAGAAATGGCATGCTAGATTTTGATTTCATTAACTTCCACACGTATTCAAAATTGATGTAATATTTATATATTCAGTTAAAATAATATAATTAATACCTATCAAATAATTAGACTTTTAATTATAATAATTTAATTACAGGTATACTTCCAAATAATAATAATGAATTAGACTTGGTAATAATTACTATTAAACTTGTAATGAGCATCATATAATTATCTACTATTACAGTAATATAACGGTATTGTTGTGTTTTATTAGAATTAACATTAGGTACATATTTCACTGTAAACTGTAATCACATCTTAATAGTTAATTACTGATATAAGTATAAATATTGATCTAATTCATTAATTTTAATTAATGTAATATTGATAGTTAATTAGCCTTCTATTTATGTATACCAGTTTAATTACCAGCACTAGTAAAATATCAATTGGCATAAATTGTAATAATGATATTGAATATCGCAACTTGCAATTGCATGCCGAGTTCAAATAAATAAAGTTTAGATTCAAGTTGAGATGATAAGTTTAAGTTTTCCTTAAAAAGTTGGCAACTCATTTGGAATTTCTGGTGTTACGAGGTGCTAATGGGCGGCGGTAATCACTTAGCATCAGATGAGCAGCACGTTTATCCCTGTGCTATAAAACTAAAATGTGAATGAAACTCGGGTGTTTAAGCCCTAGCCCATGCAAATATTGGTCCTGAACCAGGTATTTGAAAAACTTCTAATTATTTTGAAATAAAGGAGAGTTTTCTTCGTGCGTGAGATGAGTAGGCTTTATAAAGTAACTGTTATATCCGCGGTTAGGGATATGTTCTGGAGGAAAAATAAACTAAAAGTGTGACAATGACCCGAAGATGGACTGGTACTCTGTATAGACCACCGTAGTAGGTATATAGCCGACACTCAGCAGTTAATAATTTTACAAAGTGAAACGAAATTAAATGAATAAAATTACATAATACAGTATATATGTATAAGTCACAAGCTGCAGAAACTTATCAATATCTAATTCTATACTAATAAATATAAAGATGGGAGTGTAAATTTTCTATGTTCGTCTATGTTTGTCTTTGTTACATTTTCCTGACTATAAGGCTCAAGGGAACTTACTGAAATTTGAGGTGGCAATATCACACAGGCTTTCTCTTATAAAAAAATAAACAAAGTCGCTGGTGGTAAGAATTTTAGATGAATTACCTGTATTATCAAATAGTTCGGATTTTGGTACGCTGGCTGGTTTCATGTAGCTTCATACTGGGAGTGTTGCCAACTGTGCCAGCGTCAGCTACACACTCCTAGTGAGATAAGTCGTACTAAATGTATGTAAAGTTCAATGTTCGCTTACGTACGAAACAAAGAAACTAAAAAGGATGAAGACATCGAATACAGGTAATGAGTAGTGTCAATGTCACCAGCAATACTCATGTATGTATGTATATAAGAAAGAACTGTATAACACGTGATTAAAATTATGGACTTTTATAAGAGGCTACTTCTTTAAGATCCCTTTGTCGTGTAAAGACAAAAACTTGGCAGACAGACAACTTTTAGCTTTATAATATTAGTAGTAGTAATATGGATATATAGGCAAAAGTAGCGTAACTTGCTAATATATTGTCTAAAATCAAGGTACAGCCAAAACTAAAGGATTAGAAGTTTTAATTTACCTCGCTCCATTGGGTAGGTTCATGTATGTAGGTAGTAGGAATTAGGAAATCCTCAGTCTGTAAAGCTGGAATAATAGTAGTATGTAGTATGTTGTTGGACCTGGGAGTAAAATTAGGAAAAATCTGACATTGAATATAATACTAATATTTCCTATCACATTTTATTTAAGTATGTGAATATTACACTGTTTTTGGTAAATATAAATAAATATGTCTTATGATTATTGGTATTGGTAATCTTACGAGTACATTAACTAAGTTCATTTAAGTTAAAGTTCAATTATAAAGATAATCGAAAATAACAAAATTATGAAGTTGCGAAAATAATACTTTTTAATGTATATAAATATTTGGCGTGAATCATGTTACTAAATACGGTCGCAAACGCGTTACAAATTAAAGATTCAATCACAGATATAACAATCTCTTTATAATCTACGAGATAATTTAAAACGTATTGTAGCATAATGTGTATCTAATTTCCTGGTGACTAATAATTTAAATAGTATTATTTACATTATTCGTCACCATTTTAAAAGAGTTGGTACCTTAAAGGTATTTTGCTATATCCGCAAGTTAGTGAGATGACCCCAAACTATGTTCGAATTACGCAAATACTAAGACCTTATATAAATAAAATAGGTTGTACATAAGTACTACCTTTTCTATCGCCAACAAAGTTAAAAATCTCAGGCCTACTAGGAGCTTATAATTTCTACTCGTAAGGTTAATGATTTGGCTGACATCATGGTTACTGTGACTTAATTGTACTTATTTTTTAAATTAGATATATCGGACGTGAATTTGTTTTTTTTTTATATAGACTACCAGCTTACGCTAATGCCCAGCGCATGAGGGCAAGCAGTGGTTAATGATAGAATTAATAAAATATCAGGTCACTTCATGGCGTCACATCGTGACAAATACACCTGGCACCTTTTATTTAACCACGATAGTTTCATGGGGGAACCAAGTGTACATGGATCTGACAGCGTACTTATAGATAAGTTACGATGATCTCAACTATGAGCTGAACTCATTTCCAACCTATCAACTTCAAATGTGCTCCGACAACGTCAGCGCAGGCGAGATCGACATTAAAAAATACGCTATTAAAACAATTACATACATTACACACATAAAATGTTTATAAATAGTATGTAACAATAATACATTAATAATACTATCGCGGAAATATCGCCATCGGACATTTTGTTACGCTTGACTAACAACCGTTACATCGGTTTGTTAGTGGTGTGGGTTTTTCTTTCACGTACTGTTGGTTTTCGAACAGTTAGGCACTATTTTTAATTGTTAATTACCTACTATTAGTAAATTACTAGGTAGTTAAAAATCTCTTCACAAAATGGTTCTCTTAATAGCAATATTTAATGAGCGAATGGATTTTCCCACTAAGTATCCACGGTTTGATATTCTAAATATTACGGATTTAGTCACTAAATTATACTCACGCCGCATCATTTAGTTCCACCCCCAGCAGGATTTGTGCTAGCGACATATAATAATATACTCATGAATACAAATATTTATATAATATACGTACGAGGTTCGAACCTACAACTAACGAATAATCATAAATATTAGTCGAAACATACAATGAACGATTCCGGTCCATTCATTGTGTAGAGATTTTGTAAAAATCACAATGTTGTACACTTGGGTGGCAGCCAAAAGTTCGGTCTTGTATTTTTAAAGTACTGAACATGGTTTCAAATATAAATAAACACTAACGCTAGTAATGCAGTCTACTACTCACTGGGTATTTAATAAATATAAATTATGTACCAAAACTGTGGTACTTCGAAACATTTACTATTATTCATTTAACCTTTACAAATATAAAGAGACATATAAACGTTAATTCCTGTAATTATTTTCTATTATTCGCTCCAGGGTCACATAAGAGAGTGAATATTATTAAAAGTCGTTAATAAAACAAATTTGGTATATAGATTCTTGAGCTAGCAGGCTGATTTTAAATTTTCCGACAAACACAATTTTGTAACTTTGAAAAAATTTGAACATTAGTATTTTAGGCATAGCTACCGTACCGTTTGTTTTTATATCGGAGTTCTAAAAGCGGTAGCATGGGTTATTGTTGACACGTATTACCGTTTTTAGAATTTCTTCCGACGAAATATTCCGACTGCTATGAATTATTGTTTTGAATTTTAAGAAAATGGTTGAATTAGTATTGTTTAAAAAAATTGACAGGTCACATATAGTTGCATTAATTGCAAGTAATTTTCCGTAATGTTTAACTGCTATGAAGGCTATGAAATTTTGTTCCAAATTTTGAAAAAATGGTCGAAATGGTATTGTGTAAAAATTTTGACAGGACACAAAGCTGTATTAATTGTGAATAATTTTCCGTAATCTACGTATAATATTAAGTAATGGTTTCTGTTGTTGTAGTCGCGTCGCCGACATGCTGGAGGTGGTCGGCGAACGTGTCGGAGGATGGTGCAGTGGAGGAGGACGCGATACCAACACCTCACTGAGGCAGGCGGTGCGCGCGCGCCGGCGAGTTAACGATGTATACTCGAAACTGGACTGTGATATCGCGGTTAGTAACTTTAATTAGTAAGTGGTACGATACTTTGGTTATAAATTAATTGCATACAACTGCACTGATGGTATACGCTAGCGCCTGGGCAACACTGAGGATGAGGTCAGGCCAGTAATTCCGACTTGAAAATTTCACCTGAAATTTTCCAGGATGTTTTCTATGGAGGACCGTATGGAATACGACCTTATACTAGGCGTCATTGCATGCGATATATCAGGTAAGTAACAATCCCATCGGTGTATAGAAAATACTAACATGATTGTTACTAAGCTATGCTTAGCTATTATATTAAAGACTACCCGAAAGTGCCTGTATTTACATTCCTGAAACGACTATATATTTTTTTAAAGATGACTCCATATACATTAATTTCATGAAATTGTATCCGAAAGTCAGTTTTCTTTACTGAAATACCGGCGCTCTCATGACCTTATTAGCATCAAAGCTTCCGTGAATCTAGTTTCACGATACCTTCACAGTATAAAATTAGATGTATACATAATATCATAGTTAAATTTGATCGTTTTATGTCAAATTTTACACCAGTTTTATAAAACTGGTGTTTTTAATCCATAATTCACTAAACTTGTTTATATGAAAAATAAAATTACCATAATTAAAAATTAGAGTTTAGGTACGAACCTGTCAATTTAAATAATTTGTTATATATTATAGTTTGATGCCATAATATTAATATTATAGTAAATTCAAATCGTACGTTACTGCATGTGTTAATTCAAGAATATCTATTGATTTCACATAAAAATAATTTATTACGTAATGTAATAAAAAATAAAAGCAAAATGTTAAAGAGAAACGCAATATTCACTTCTTTAACAAATAATTAGTGTATATACATATATATATATATTACATTTATCTTTTAATAATGTAGAGACATAGAGACTTTTATAGTTTTCGATTGTCTATATAACATACGACATCGTATGACAATTTCAGGTGATAAGCTATTATTGAGTAAGGTCGCTTACCGATTGATTGATTTGATTGATAGTAATAAAACACGCGATCTAAATATACTGAAGATAAACAATATCGGCCTTATTACGGAAAACAGACCGATTACTAACTTAGTACCACGAATAATCCATGACCTGAAATAATCTATATATGTATATTAAACAAAATCAACGTGGTTACACACACCATTTATAAAGTTCACATTTGTTGAATTCTTATCCACCCCGAATTGCAGAATAACTATGACAGTATGGCAAAAAATTATGAAGCATTTAAAAATAAATATTGAAATATAAACAAAATTTGATTGATCTTGATTCAAAATTATCCAGATCTATCGTTCAATCAGTCATCCTGCCATTATTCAAGTCATGAAAATATGACAATCACTGACTGTTCGGATCAGCTTATTAATAAAACATACACTGTACTGTTCAAAATACAGAATAGTAACAGTATATTAGTTATATTATCTGAAACCGAATTCCAACCCCGTGCTTAGGTACTTTGTGATCCCATAATTCAAATTACAGCATTAAAAATGTGGTTGATATGCATATAATATAATGTTATACGTTTCTTTATGTAATGAATGTATACAATGAAACGAAACATAAAAAAAAATCGTAAATCAAATTTATTTTAAAAAATCTATGAGATGTTGATTGACCTGTGCGAGTGCTTATGTGTTAATTAGAGAAGTTAATATTAACTAATTACTTAGATAATTATACTAATATTATATTATAAGTTTATTTGGTTGAACGCACTAATTTTAGGAACTACTAGATCTGTTTTAGTTTATAATGATAATAAGACTATAGAATATCACACTACGGTAAATTTGAGTGGAGTATATAATAAAAATGTTGCAAAAAAGAGGAAAATTTATTCTAAACATTTCTCTTTGCAACGCTTTATTAATATACGAGTACATATATAAGCTGGTAACCGTTGATAAATTAAGTCATAAAAACTAGTCGACCACTCACAGACTTACTAGGGCAGAGGTGGAGGTTGACCACTAACATAGGCATGTCAGCCACATACCGATCAGTACACAAGTTAAATTAACTAGTACCTATATATGACTTACTTACTTACTGAGTAAGTACTGGTTAAACATTAATTACAGTTTATTGGTAACTATAAAATTCGCGTGGTAGTAATAATTAGATATTGAACAAGCAACTGTATCTTACATTAATATTTTCATATATTATAACATAAATCGAATGTCACATAAGCCGCATATTGAATATAGGTACAATTTATTTCAACAATTTAATTTCTTGTCTTATAAGTAAAATGTGTTTTCGTTACATTTTGTGGTATAGTTGTCATGATATCATTTATTTCTTCTCTTAAATAAATATCCCAATAATAATATATAAATTATATAAATATATAAATTCCCTTAAATAATAGTAATAATCCGTTGGCTATAGTGATCAATACCATAGCTGAGGCTCTGGCTCAGGCATGGCATCATAATAATGTGTTAGCATTTTCCAGTAGACACCAGCATTGTTTACTATTTTAGTATTATTAAAACTCGTACGTCTCCTCCTCTTCTAAATAGCAGTTCTCTGCCATTGTAAATTATCGTTACTATTGTGGTGAAATAAATAGATCGTGCCTTTCATAATATCTACTAGTTACATTGTTATAACATTATAATAACATATTACAGCACGCTATCGCGTCTGTCACGAAATATCACTTATATAATTTATTTCAACAAAGTATAAAAAGTTTAGTATTTGAACTAAATAGCTTTGTTACGATTTTACTTTTGAGATAGTAACTTGCAACTTTTTATTTTTTAATATTTACCAGTTCCTTTTCCCAATTTTCTTTCACATATTCAAAATTTCACATTTGAAATTGCATATGTTTATAGTACAAGAATTTTACTCATCGATATACAGAAAGAATGGTGAAGAGCGATATTTAAGTGCTTAGATATGAAAAATTTGTAATGGCGATTATTCTATTATAAACGCTCTTTCACGCAAAAACTACTGAACGGATTTTAACTTATACATCATAATAACATATGGGTTATAAATTTCAGCTATATTTTTGCAGGTGAAAACGCGGGCACAACTAGTACACAATATTTTTATAGTGGCATAAACTCATAATTTACTATCACTTGCGTCTCTTTTCCTCGTCAGTATTCCGTTCACTCCATATATTCAAATTACAGCATCAAAAATGAGGTTCATATGGATGTATATAATGTTATTAATGTCTTTATAAAATTAATGTAAGAAATAAAATGAAACTTAAAAGAGATTGTCGTTAAATTTTGTGTTAAAAATCTATGGAATGCAGAGATATCATAATTACAATATGTCATTAAATTTAATTAAAACATTATAATAGGTGCCCAATAAAATAATAAATGTCATGTCAATCAATATTATTAAAACTATAATTACATGGGATGGTGGATTAATGAGAAGAAGTTCTATTAAATTGAAATAACTACTTTATTTTTATTATATTCTTATTCATCTGCATCTAATCTAGTTTATTTTTATTATATAAAAGGTATAAATTCGACGATGTACCGAACGCTCGCATCGAGTAAAAACTGTAATAAAAACTGACGCAAAACGATAGCTAAAAATGTTCTATATGAACAAATGATTCGGACTTTAATAGTAGGTGCTCATAAAAATGAACAACTTTCCACGATGTACATGGGTCGTAATATAAAAACCATCCATACTTAATGATCACATATTATTTATATAATTAAATAATTTAATTCACAGCAATATAAATTTTCACCATACTCACCCCTAGTACTATGGAAACTAAAGAAAAGTACTATTACTTTTCTTGTTCTGTTGTAGGTAAAGTTTAGTTACATAATAAAGTTTTCTTTTTTCGTTTCCTAGTTTTTTTTATAGATAAATATGTATTGTATTGATGTACCTTTTTCTGTATAAAATTCCTTTATTTCGATTGAGTATTGTACTAATTTTAGTGTCGTACTCTTTTGGCGACTTTAGGAAGTACGTGTTAGTTGTGCTGTTTTAAATAATATTTCAGCTTCATGTCTTCGTTTTGCCGTATTATATAATTATTTTGTACTCATATATTACGTGTCGACAGTGAGTGTCGACCCGTGACCAGGACGTTTGTAACAGCTTCGAAATATGGGAAACATTTGAATAATATTGTCTTGGTATATTTTTGGATTATATAATCTGTAACAATTGTATACAACCGTGAAAAAAAGTTTAAACAGCTATTATTTTATCAACAGACGAGAACGACATCGCTGTACAGAATCAAGGAGAGCCCTGTAGTGCCTGCGCCTCAGCCAGTGACCCGCCCACCAGGTGGACTTGCGTGTGGCAGATGCGCTCCCATTTCTAGAGTGAGTTAGCGTTATTATTTATTTGTTGTTATATGAATAAACTATCAATTTACTTCAGATATTTCTCATAAGCATTTGGTAGAATCAATGTGGATTTTATTGCTTTTAGGTAGATTATGGAAAAGTAGTTTCTGCTATTGTTTGACACACAAACTCCCGTCATATTTGTTTTATTTTTAAGTTATGAAGGCTTATTGTTTGTAATATATTTATTTTATAAATATGAAATTATATGACCATTAAAATATATAATTTTATTCCTAATTGTAATTAATTAATTAATAAGTACGAACGCATCGTTATCACGCAGTTATTCGCAATCCCTATCTATTGAACTCTGCCCAGGGTCCAATAACATGAATCTATACAGTTATAAATTCTAACACACGGAAGTTTGTTTTTATTATCAGCGTATATTATAATATTTTTATTTTATTATTAAATAGTAACTAGATTTGCAATTAAAAAGAGTTATATGTATAATTATTTTATATTTCACTAATTCCAAATTTTCTTTATGAACATTCATATTGTTAATATTGGTATGGATACGTTCAGTGATCTGTATTTATAACAATGGAACAATATCTATTTCAAACTGCTACTAATCCCAAACAAAATAAGTTTCAAATGTATTGCCTCTATTTTAATTAAAAATAGAAAGAGCTACTACAACCATTCGAAATTATACTTTGTCCTTCTTGATAACTATTAGATATGGTGATTAATACATAATTAATACTACTGATTTGTTTACTACTATTTCTACTACCATTTTATATATTATGTTTTATCAGATAAATTGTATATTTTCACACTATTCGTATCGTATCATTATAGAATGATATTCCGATAATGACAGAGTTGCTAGCCACCGCATCGACGCGTCGGGGCCAACAGCACGGAAAGTAGGCGCTCTGAATACCAAACCAACGATCGCTGGTTCGATATCATTCGCGCATTACTATATCAGTATGTGTGGACTGTATTCTGAGACTTATATTCCTAGTTTTAGTTGGGATTAAGTATTATATTTGGAATGAATTAACCCATAACAAAATGTTACTAATTGTAAGTAATTAGTGTCATATCAAATGTTTACGATGTCTCTCTGGTAACCATCGTAGAGTATTCTTCACCTCGATAGGCTAACCAATTTGGTTTCATGCTTATCCTATTATTTATTATCCTTCACTAAACCTATATATTACTATATTAATATACTTTATTATATTATTATACTTCACAGCGTATATTATTAGCGCAGGCTAGTGCACCATTTCATATTAATTCCATCCATTAGAAAAATATCAGTAATTGTATTGTACTTATTTACAAATATAAATGGAAATTGCCTGTGTCCAATCAATTGTAAAGAAACATTAACAACTGATAATAGTGTAATAATATAAATTAAATCGTAGTACTATTCAATACAAAGTCCGCATATTATTTGTGTCATCACAAAGATCATATCACATTTAAGGTTGGAACGTTATAATTTTAAAAAAATACATGTATTGCGTTAAATTATAATGTTCATTGTTTGTTGCCACACACAGATGTTTCAACAAGAATGTCTTATGTTTCGTATCCGCTAAATACTTTGATAATATCGTGTCAATGCTCCAACTACCTTATACAGTGTCTTTTGTTTTATCTATTACAAGCTTCGATTATTCTCATCGTTATGAATTACTTGTATACTTTGTGGACGAACATCTCTTAACAAATATTGCAAATTTACAAAATCAGTAATAGGATACAATGCGCAGGGTTTCGATATCTAATTAAGAGCATTCATAGTAATGTTTGCATAGTCGTTTAATTGTCAATAATTTTTTACCATCTAAAATTTCTTAAAGAATCTTTTTTATTTTTATCTGTTTGTTTGTAGGCTATTCTCAGAAGCGTCTAATTCGAGTACTGTTGTCTCTATGTTAACTTCACTTAAAACTGTTTTTTTATTCCATTCATAGATGTTATATACACACAAGTGTTAGTTCCAAATATATATCTCGAAAGTATTTGGGCTTCATGAATATTATGACTGTGGTCCTCTATATAAACTCAATTGTCCAATGTATAAGTACATAGGCGTATTACTTCACGGGTGTACCTATTTGACTATTTCTTTTTGATGTATTTGTTAAATTATTTTTGTTGTGGGTATTAATTACATACAAAACAGCTGGACCAACCTGAATTAAATCGTTCGTAATTATAAAAAAAATCGGGTTCAAAATCAAACTCAAGTAAATAATTCTGAAGTAAAATTATCAGGACAAGATTTGTATGCAAGAAAATATTGAAAGAATGTAAAGGGAAGATTTTCTCTCATTATGTTCATTAACACACCCACGTGAGCGCGCAGAGCCGGCGGCTGACAAGAAACAACACACATTCACTCATCACCATACTAAAATGCAGACGGTCATGTCTGCAGTATAATACTCGTAGAATGATGACGAATTTCTAATCCAACGTTGTAATCCGATAACCGTTATGTTGTGGGCATGTTGGCAATTTGGTCCAATGACCTCAACGTCAAGGTTAGCAAGAATGACAGTCATCACTTAATAAACGTCTTACCCATTTGGCGATACTTGGAATGTTACCTTTAATTTCGCAATGTCCAAGTCCGAGATAATTAAATATCCTTTAAAACTTACAAGTACTGTGTGTTTCTACTGTTTAAATATAGGTTGACTTTCAAATACTTGAGTGACCGTGTACCTTAAGGCTGCATGTCTCCAACCCCCCTAATTAAACTCGATAATATTTTATCCTCAGTGTAAAACAAATATAATATGTTTTACACTGAGTTTTGTGTTTTCAGAGTCAACACTCTGCTCAAGTTGCTAAAACACAAAACTAAATTTTAAGTAAAATAATGTAGTAAAATAAATAGTACTTTATTTTGTCACATTTATTGTTTGCTTTCCAAGAGTACACTTCATTTGTACAAAAAAGACACAATCCTACTCACGAAGGTCGAAAGAGGACACTAGGGAGGATGCACGCACTATTCATGTAAAGGTCGTCAAACAGTTAGCCTTTGTTTAAGTTTGTCCACAAATCCTGTGACTCAGACGGAAGGCGTATGTATACGTGCTCATAAAGAACTTGGGTGATATTTAGTATTTTTTACATGTCTGTTGGGTATAGATACTTCTTTGTAATGTTTTTTTTTAAATTACGAATTTAATATATCAGCTATTCAATCTAGTTAAAAATGAACTTTTTAACAATTGTTTGTAAATTTGAAATAGGCTTCCTTATCGCAACCCTGTGACTGCTATCAGCGACTCGTAGGTTAAGTAAGATGTGTTTTTATGAGTAAGAATCTCACACAGCCATATCTCCAGCGGTGTAAAAGTTTCTTTGTAAAGATTTTTTAATATGACAAAAAGGCTTGCTTACCATTTCAAATAAAAAATCAATATCAACGTTTTTCGGGAAATCTAAGTAATATTGTTGTAACTCTTTCCTATTTGTATTATAGTAAATACTCAATTCAATAAAGTAAATTATTGGAAACGCCACGCCCCCCAGCTTCTATATTACAATATGATTTTTTATAAAAATTAAGAATAATTACAACAATTCACTTAGTCCTATTTAGTCCCAAGCTCAATAGTTTGTGTTGTGTACTAGATAACTGATCGAAAAACTTCAATACTATTTTTCCAAAGACATTGGGTAAAAGAAAAGTTTTCTATAAAGTCATCTGCTTGGTACCTCATTAAGTGTGAAATATGGCCGAGATATATATAACACCTTAGTTTTGAGGTAGAGTAAAAAACTGGACGAGCACAATGAGAGCTACTATTTTCGAACATTTGTCTAGAATTCACTTGATAGTCCTATTACCCGTTATCTAACTGCATATCACACGCTCTCGCCACGCCATGCGCCATAACAATGTGTGTGTGACGCACCCAAGGGCGGGTCACGGTCAATTAGACAGTGCAGTATTCCACACACGGCGACATCTGACAAGCGCCTTGGACAGTGAAATCATCTATTCCTATATCTTCCTATTTTATCCTTCACATGTACACAGTCGTTGCATTATTTATTGTTTCCTTTAACCTTATTAATATCTAGGTACTCATACTCATGTTTAGAAGGTGACTAAATCTTTAAAAGAGATTTTCACATTCAATGCATAAAACAAGGAATTATACATTTTCTTTTAATAAATCACCTATAATTAGTTAATTTTTAATTATTTCCTCACAAACAACATACAAATGTAGACCACTGCATAAATCTATTCGATGGACCAATGCATAACTAAGAAAAACTTTGTGCGAAAGTATAAATAAATTATTTACACCTATGTAAAAAAATGTTGACCCTGATACTCGTGTTTTACATTGCAACATTTTTTAAATTTAAATATAGCTATCCTCTTAAAATGTAATCTAGTTAAGATAATTGTAATTATAATGTAATTGTTAAAAGTAGGCGAGAACTAATATCTGTTTACTTGCTTTTCTTCGAATCTTTGCATATTATTGTACAAACCACGAACATCCATACTGAATACTGTAGATTACACAACCAATTACAAAAGTAAAGACGTATGTTGATAATGCTCATTCATATGAAGAACTTTCTCAGTGGTCGTATTATATTCCAAATTTAAACTCACAAAGCGTCCGCAGTGGCGTGACATGAACGGACCAACCGGAGAATGGCGCCTTCTCGGCTAGTAGTGCGACGACCTCGCAGCATATAGAGGACTCATCATCCATACCACAAACACAATTGATCGATTGTTGTTTTAATCAGTTTTGTATGGCAGGTTAATTGTTAATAAGCAATATTCTAGCACATTTGGATGTTGTGCCAGACTAATGATTCTTCAATTACTTGTCCATTAAAACCCTGCACAATTTATTAATGACATGAGACAATAAAGAATTAGGAAAACCCTGAAATTCAAACAAAGACACGTCTAGTAGTTTAGCTTACCGATTCATTTCCGATGGTTGCGCATTCAATTCCTCGCACGGTGTAAACATTTGTATTCATAAGTATGATTGTCATGTAACATCGTCTGGCTGTTTTCTATGTATATTATGTACGTAGGTATTTTTAAAAAATATATTGTAAGTATTTCTATAAGTTTCCAGAGATTCGGACTATATGAGGGCGTATGAGTTGTCCTGGATTATTATTATTGTGTAGTCATAAAATCAAATCCAGCAAAGGCACAACAGAAATTAACAGAATACTTTAATACTGTTTACGTTTGTGTATTTCTATTCATATTCTATATTTCCTAAACTAATCTACGTATTATGAATATTTACATAGTATAGAAATGCGTCACCTCGACGCATTAAATGTTGTTCCGTGCCGTTGTTAAAAAAAACTGTCTCCACTGGCGCCTACCTGTTTTAAAAATAAAATTTTATATACACTTTATTAAATACATTTCTCGTTATCTTTCTTCTACTTACATTACTATATTTCTATTTCATTCCAACAATCAGTGCTATCCTCTAAATAGTGTTTAGTTTATTTTCAACCTTCCCCCTGACACTATCCGTGACCGAGGATGTAAATAAACTCTGTATTGAACGAATATTTTTTATCTTAACTTTATACAAAATTGTTTATTATGCGGAGTAACGAAAGAAAACTCTCAGAATAGAGAATGTTCTGTACACATTTAGACTGAACAGAAGTTGGAGAACCACTACTAACATTTGCTTTTTTCTTCTATCTTAGTATTATTATAACTAGAATTGAAAAAAAGCTATGGGGACAATGGGAGAAATGAATATTTTTCTAAATGAACCACATCACATTACACATTTTGAAGTAAACCTCTCGAGCGTTTTGTTCTTGAAGATTGATATGTGACTTTACCTTTAAAGCTACATAACCACATAATGATATTAATTAAGCGGTTCAATAAACTTTATGATCTATCATCAGTCAATGAATTCTCAGTTTTTTTTTATTGCTACGTAGTGTGTTAAACTGTACATATTTTTATATGCATAACAAATGCACTTGGTGTATAAACTCCATAACTATGGTTACTTTTTAGATTCATAGATCACTACTAAGAATACATAAATGTTTTCAAGTTTTCTAATATTAAATTGTTGCTGTTTCTAAGTATTTTCTAACACATAATTGAAGATTAGTATTATCAATCACGACAATGATGAATGTCACATTGAATGCTATTGTATCTAGGTTAATAACATACTTTATCAATCGTTTAAATAGCTGACTCCATTAATATAGTTATATTAAGAACGTTATAGTATAACAAAAGATAACAGAAGAGTGTGTAATATTTGCATCATCCTTTGTTCACAGAGAGGAATCTTTATATGTTAACATATATCATGATTCTTGCAAATTAAGTAAAAAATAATGAAAAATAAATAGTAGTCAGTGGGCTTACTTATAATTTGTGATAGATTGTAACATGGCTATTGAAATTCAATCCATACGTAATGTCAACAAACTATATTTTGTATTCAAGATTATATCATAAAGAACTTGACTCTTCCAAGAATAAATTAATATTCAAAGACGCTCAACGTTCATTACCTAGTTTTTCTATCTAGGTTTATAACGACAGACTAAATTATAATAGCATTCGCATCGTGTACCAGCAGCCTTAATATGTGCAAGTTATTAATAGTAAATCCCGAAATAGCATTGAAAGAACTTTAATTTTAAATGAAATGCCAGAGACTACGATGAGACGCTTTATTTATTTGTGTCGTAATGTTTTTAAACACGTACTTCTTTGTCAAACATACAATATGTTTACACTTTAGAATTTGCTAATATATCACAAACTTCTTTGCAGGAATCGTGGCAAGACCCAAAATCAACTGAGACAGGATCCGTGATAAATATATTGAACATTGGGAAGCAGACATTTGCAAATGGTGGCGTCGTGTCGAGGTATCTTTGCGATTTGGCACAGTGTTGCCATCTCATTAAGTATGACTACAAGGACTTCGTGCCCGATGTAAGTACACCATAAAATGTTACTAATGCTTTATGTTTAATATTGTAAGCAACAAACCTCGAAGTACCTAAATACCCAACGCTTCAGTTTTTTCTCCCGTTTTACGCCAAGACTATCATTGATTATGACGTACGTTTTATTAGTATGGACAAAATCAACATGCTTTTTCGAACAACGTACTGTAATTTTTCTGAAGTAATCTCACCAGGAAGTTGAGTCTACTACCTCCATTGCAGAGATTTTTCTAAAATCACACTATACATTGCTGCACAGTCACCTGTGTCTTTTTAACAGAGTTTCTCTGCTTCTTTTTGAAAAATGTTTACTTTGTTTAGTCTTCTCTAGTTAAATAATGAGATTCATGCGCTTGTAAATAAATTCAGAAACATTTCCCGCCTACAGAAGTATTTTAATTATAATTATAAATTTTATTTTCTAGGTGTTCAAAGACAAACAGTTCCAAAAAGCTATAGAAGATAGAACCCAAGAGGAACTGAGAAAGTTAAACGAGAACAACCACGTAGGAGGAGGCGAGGGTGAATCAGCAAGCCAGTACCAGGCGGTCAGGGCGCGCATAGAGGCCAAAGCTGCCAAAATAGTAAAAGATATTAGTTCGGCGATGTCCAATGGTGTACTCAAGTTAGTATTATATAACCTTTATATTAGAACTTACTATAGTTCTTTTGCTGGGCACGGGTTCCATTCATAAGAGGAGGATTTACCCTAATGTTACGACACTTAATTAATATTATAATATTATTTAATAAGTAATTTATAAGTGTATTTAATACACGAATACCGTATTTCACATAGTTACAATTAGATAAAATTTGACTTAAAATAAATGTTCAAGACGTTATGTGAATTAAATATAGCATTTTTATCTAATCATACTTTTATGCTTGTATTTTTTTGTTTTCAAATATAAATTGACAAGGTTCCATTATCTATTCTAGTTTATTGAACTATGACATCTGTGCTAAATTAAAAGTAGCTGTTAAATATATCACTATTGCGTCAATTGAGTCGCAAATTTAATAAATATTGGCTTCGCGACCGATATATATGTTTACTAATATAAAATATCAAACCATTCTAATAAAGTATAAACTAAAATTACTATTATTATAAACTTGAAGTACTAACTAAAATTACCTATTGTAATACTAACCGCGACATGGTGGGTTTTCTACTTAAGGTTTTTTCAGTAAATTATATTATTCAATTGTTAGAATAATACAGTTAATAACAGATATCTACTAAGACATGAAAAAATCTATGAACAGTCTAATTTTTGTCTTGACTTTAATTTAGAGTATAATTCGAGATAACCCTAGGTTTAAAAGGTACTGATGTTACAGATAAACTGAGGATTGACTAATTGGCATGCTCAAATAGAATTTGTTGTTATTATTATTATTTAAAAGAAAGTCCATATCATTGTTTTCGTTATAAAAATATAATACATATTTTTATCATAGGGATTACATAATATAAGTACTAATCTAATAAATCCGTTTAGATGTTTATTTATGACCTGTTTCATTATTTAAAATAGTAAACAATATGTTATCACATCAGAAGATATTTCTTATAGATAAATGGAAAACCTATTTTCCTTATTTTGCATACTAATGTTGCGGTTTAAGGGATTAAGTAATTGATTGACTGATCTAATCTAGCTAGTTGTTTTGTAATTGAAATCCTGGTATAATATTGTTGTTTGTATATCTTTATTTATTTAGGATCATAAACAGGTTTACAATTAGAATATTTCTAACTATTTAAAAAAAGCAACACACACATTTGTATTCATGAGTATAATTGTTTGTATAGGTCTGGGTGTTTTGTATGTATGTATTTATAAAAACTAAGTATTCGTTGTTTAGTACCCATAACACAAGCTCAGCTTATCTTCGGACTAGATGGCGTTGTGGGAATTGTCTAGGGGTATTATTATTATCTTTACAGAACGTTCACTTAGAGCTTTTGAACTACACAACGGTTTGTAATGCAATTTTTAAAAATAGGCAGGTATTGAAGAGGAAGGTTTATATGCGTATGTGGTAGCTATTTATAAATAAAAAAAATAATACGATTAATAATAAATTGTAGGTTAGTAGCCTGGGTGTGCCACAAGGCGATTCGTCGCGTAGCACGCGGCGGTTGCGGTACCCGCGCCGCATGCGTTGAGCGATTGAGACGTGCCAACGCCGCTGGTTTGCCGCTAGTGTTCGTCCCGCTGCATCGCTCGCACTTCGATTACATACTCGTCACTTTCACACTCTACCTCACTGGGCTTCGACCGCCACTCGTCGCCGCCGGGAATAACATGCGGATACCTTTCTTTGGGTAAGATTTTTTTCAGAAGGTTGATTTTTTTCAAAGTATTCTAATGCAGTTAGGGTTTTACAGCTTCACTGAACCATTTATGGATAGTGCAGAGGACACTACAAACCAGGCTGAGAACTTACGGAGCGGGTGAAGGTTGACTCTTACCTGATGGATACGATATAGTCTGAGAATACATCGTTAAACCTCATCTCGTGCTTCTTACTTTAGATAACACTAACAGTCAGGATAGGTGTTTACAACTTATTATTTCCGATATTTGGCACCTTATACAGTGCGGTTGATTACATGTTAAAACCCAACTCGTAGAGATCTTCGGGGAACAGTTATTATGACCCGATTTTGATAGTTCTGTTCTGTCAAATGGAAATAAAAATAAATTTGTAATTTTCTATATATGTACAAGCTCAATTGAATAGAACAGGAATTGAATTTCTTGTCTGTTCTTCTTAGCTCCTAACTGACGGTTACATTTGACATATCATAATAGTCTGGATAAAGACTATTATGATATGGACATGAATAAAGATATTTTGATTTGATTTGATTGATTAATTAATTAATTAAATTTTTCAGATGGTTTCTACGTGGATGCGGTGCATTTTTCATCAGACGTAATACAGAAGGCTCGGAAGGTCACAGTGATCAAATTTACAAAACAGCTCTTAGGTATGTGGTATTAAGCACGTATATTTCAGATTTCATTGATCTATGACCTTTTTAAACGCCAAATCGCTCGTCGACTTTGTGGTCAATTATTCGTCAAGTAAATTGACCTTATGTAAAGTTATTGGTAATATGGGTTTGTTCGTGTCCATAGTGACAAAATCTAACAAAAAAAACTGTATTATTGAACCCAAAAAAGTAATTACTAATTATTTGGACCGTATGCAAATGAAACTCTATATTTATGTCTCGCATTCAGTAGTATACTAACTGTAGATGTGGTGTTTTTATTTATTTTTTTATTTCAGGTCGTATATATTAAATAGTTTAGCTGCAAATAATAATATGGAGTTCTTCATAGAAGGTGGTCGGACAAGAACCGGCAAACCACAGCCGCCCAAAGGTATTTCTTATTTAAAGATTATGACGATTTAATGTGTGATATTCGTATTTAGCAAAAAAAGCAAACAATGACTCGTTCGGCTAAGAAAGAACTTCAATAAAACCATATAAAATGAAACTTGTACATTAGAAGCTTTTGTTTATAAAATGATTCATAGCAAGTGCTTTTTTTGAGGTTTCCCCCAGGACGCCGTTACTCACCGGCAATGCCTGTATGCAATGTATTAAACCATGATGCCCTAGGGGACCCTCATTTATCGATACTCGATACTCGATTCTCGATGTAGTGTAATAAAAATAATAATTGTCGATGGTATCTCATCAGTCGCCCCTATTGCACAATTAGAAAACAGGACCGGCACCCACCCTGGATTTCCCTATACTGAAATCATATAATTATTACATACCTATATACTCCATAGATAGTGTTATCACATCCTTTCTAGCGGGAATTTCCCATTGATTACGTACTGTGAACAAAACATAAGTTTAAAGTTATATACACTACGATATCAACTGACATTTAGTGCTCTATCGTGGATGATTAAATGGAAAATAGATATTCAACGATTGTTACCATTTTATAGGATTACAGTAATAGTATAATATACGTCTATTAAACCTTCAAATGTATTAAATATAATGTAATATACGCATGCCTACCTGGATATCAAGATTATACAGCCGGTAAGATGTGATATGTATTTATTGTTATAGTGGAAACGTACAATCCGGAGTAAATTTAAATGATTCTTTTTTTTCATAATACTAACCGGCTGTTCATGTGCATGAGAAGTGTTACCCACAGTGGCCTTTTACACTCATATTTCTGTTTGTATTGCATAACGCAAAGATATAGGCGAAATTATTATTTTTTACAAAAATATATTTATTCCGATTGATTTATTAATGGCATTTCGGTTTTTATTTTTCTTTTTAACTACCAAAAGAAAATTCTGTTAATAATAGTGAGGACCTCTTATTCACATAATTTTGCCTTGTGTAGTCCCAAAGTAAGCAGAGCTTGTGTTATGGCTAAACAACTGATATAAATAATTAGGTATAGTTTTTGTAAACTCATACATAATGTTTGTACCGTGCAAAGAACCGAACCCGTGACCGTGGGCAGTAAAGCGGTATGCTAAACCGCTAGAACACCGTCGCCGTCGTTAAATTTAATTATATAAAGATTGAATAAATATTCACAGCGGGCATCCTCTCTGTGATAATGGACGCGTATCTCGACGGTACCATTGATGACGCGTTACTAGTGCCCGTAACCCTCAACTACGACAAACTGGTGGACGGGAACTTCGTAAGGGAGCAGCTCGGCATGCCCAAACAAATGGAGACATTCTGGTCTGCGTTTAGAGGAATATGGCGGACGCTGAACACAAACCACGGCAGTATCAGGGTGGATTTCAATCAGCCTATATCACTTAAGGTAATTACACATATATATTGTTTGCATTTAAACGAGTTTGTGTTTTAATATCTTGTTTATTATATGAATATTGTTATTTTAAAGCATGTAGATTGGTGATATAAAATAGATTATTGTGTCTTTTTTTATTATAAGATCATTTTATTTAGATATATAGATAAATATACCTATATCTATTATGTTAAAAGATATTGTAAACAGCAACTTTAAAATTATAAAGTATACTTTTCTGTATGAGATTCGTTTCTTAAAAGAACTTGAAAAATTACACTAAAATTTAAATATTTTAATAGTCATTTACATATCTTCCAAAACTATCCCTAATAATGATAAGAATATTAAGGTAGATAATGCGGCATGGAGTTAAGTCCGCCATATATACTTTAAAATTTTGTGCATTAAAGTTTAAATAAATAAATAAAAAATAAAATATGTTAAAAAACATATGCACTGGCCACTTGCATGTTAATCTCTATGAAAGTTATTGTAATATCAATCCAATAAAAGAGACCATAAGCTACATAGTCCATTTACATAACTTTGAATATTGCATTATAATATTACACTTATGTAAATGCTTTATATTAGGATCAATATGGCGAGGAATATTAAGGTGTAATTTCTTTTTATAGGAACTCGTGACGTCATTCCAAAAGTACAACTACCTCAAGTCACCCATTGAGCGGCCGTTGACCCCACCCAACAACAATCTATCAGTGAATCTCGACAGGCAAATTCTATATAATCACAGTCACTCTAGTCTATACGGTGCTGACGTCACCACAGACCACAAAATGATGGTGGAGGCAATCGGCAGGCATCTAGTCTATGGTAAGAATGTTGGTGTGAACATACATTGAGTCTTGTGTAAGTTTTTTTATGTAATTTGAACGGCAAACATGCTGACTTTTCCTACCTGTTGGTAAGCGGTAACCGTATCGTATATATAGATCTGACACTCTTGGTAGGACTCATACGTTACATTCGAGAGGGTTACGGTGACATTAATCTTATTCTGTAATACCTTTACCTTCTGTCGATATTATTCAGGTTATAGGGAGTCAAATAAGGAATTAAATTACGCATGGGTACTTCTAATTAGGTCTCGTTATGATGATTTATAGTGTTATGCGAACAACAATGGGGGCCTTCCATTAATCACGTAAGGCACGAAGGGTGGGAGAGAGTGTTCGGTAAAAATCACGAGATATAAGAAAAATATTAGCTTCTTTGTAAGTACTAAAAAATTTACGTGATTTTTCGGGGGTAGTTTTAAACCTCATTAGTTACGTATCACCAAGCGGTAGAAGGTCAAAAAATGCAAAAAATATCCGTAATTTTTTTTTGGTTCGGGTATTTTCATCTCAAGAAAAGGTAATAAATAGGATTTAGCCCATACTGCCTCTGTACTCGGTAAACGTCAAGTGATTAATGGACGGCCCGTCGACAGGTACTTATTTTATGTGTACGTCCAGACGCGGCTCAAGCGACCGCACTGATGTGCACGAACGTCGTGGCGTACGTGCTGCTGACGGAGCAGCGGCGCGGCTGCAGCGTACACCAGCTGTACGACAGCGTCGGACGCCGCGCCGCCCGCCTCAGGGCCGCCGGCCGCGACCTCGGATACACTGCCGACGGGGCCGTCGCCACGCGACACGCCGTAAGTACTGGCTGCAGTCCGCCCGTTCAGAGCTTGCTTGTTTTTTTTTTGGTTCTGTATATCCTCTAACGGAAAAACAAAGGTATCAGAGTTTGCGTGCGTTTGCGTTTTTAGGTATAAAATATTAAATATCTTTTATTTGCCTTATGAACGAGTGTTAACATTAAAAATTTAGTAATAAACGTATTAATTGTGGCCTAAAGTTATGAATTAACCTGAAACTAAGTAACCGCGTGGAAGTCAATCTGACATTGTACATGTGTGGACTGATGACCCCATTGCTTACTAACAATTATTATTATTAACGTTATGTGGGTGTCCCCAGCTGGAGATGCTGGGCCGCGGGCTGGTGAGGCGCGAGAGCGGAACCGCGCGGCCGCAGCCCAGCGTGGCGGCGTCGCTCGAACTCGCCTACTACGCCAACGCGCTCGTCGCACACTACGCACCCTCCGCCATTATAGGTAACGCACACTACACATACACCTCTGTGTATTAAGCACAGCTTGGTAACCTCTATGTCTCTTACTATCATTGACTTTTGATTGGAAAATTAGTAAATGAATAAACATTCTGTATTCAGAAGCGTATTTCTGTATACAGAGTGGTTTAAATTGAATGGAAGTGTTTGATTTATGTCACAAAAGTAATATTTGAACTACACACACAAATAAATCTACTGCGTTGAGAACAGATTGTGGTGTAAAAGCTGCAAGTAATTTTTGAAATCGGATGTATGTATTAAAAATAAGGAGATAAAATTTAGTATGGTTTCAATTTATAATCATTTTTAAATTGTGAAATAATAATATCAGTCATATTATATAAGTCTACGCTGATTACACAGCTGCTTCATTGAGACGACCAATGTGATAGGTTGAAGAAGGCATACTAAGTAGATTCCGGGTCAATTTAAAAATAATGCGATATCTGGTATTCTACACTATCATAAAATTATATGTATTTATAATTATTTATTATTGAACTCCTTTTCAATACGTAAATCTCTTCATCTTAACTTAAATGTACAATTTTTCTTCTCAGCAACTGCATTAGAAAGTATACTACGACAACCCAATGCAGACCAGGAGGTAATTTATCACACGGAATTAATGGAGTCGGCATTACAATTGTGTGAAGTACTCAGTCAGGAGTTCATACTGTGCCCACCTTGTCACAGGATAGAGGAGAAAATGTTAGACGCTATAGACGGACTGGTCGCCGACGATGTGTTACACACAATAGAGGTAAATGTCGTGTGTGATATATAACTATACTGTGAGTTCATCTCTCAATATTTATTTGCCGATCTAGATGGCATAGCATTCGCACACTGCAATCATTTACATTTACAAGTAAGACAGTGCAATAATTTACAAGTAACATTTTTTTCTATATATTATCAGTATTAATAAAAAAGATACTGTATATTGATACTGATAGTCATACATACTCTATACTTTTCTAATACCTGTAGTAGGGGCCCTGCTTTTTATGATGGCGTGTACAAGATTGTGTGTCGAAATTTCGCTGAATATTTCTATTTTTTTAGTGATTATTAGCATTATATTATTTAAATAAAATACGAAATTAGATCACATAATCCATTGTGACAATTTGCTAGAAATTAACAACTTCTCTAGTCAGTCCATTATTAATATCCTCCCACCTCACACCCGTAACGAACTGATACGTAAGTTGATTTATAATTTTCAAGAAATAAACGTTTGGTAATTACAGCTCAATGAAGGTCTGGATGAGCAGAAATGGTCTCGCCGGTTCGCCAAACGGTTGGAAGACGAGGACGAGGAGGACCGGCCAGACCCCGCGCGACACATCAAGTACAGGATCTCACAGTCTGCCGACGCACTCGCTGAACGGTTAGTAAAGTATCATTGACATTATAATTAAATATGTAGTCACTTGAGTTAAAAAAATCATATTTCTTACTATTATTATAAACGCAGAAGTTTTGGATGATTGGATTATGAGTATGGTTGGGTAGATGGATGGATATTTGTTACTGTTTCACGTAAAAACTATTACAATAATATAGCTTATACATCAAAATTACATATATAGGCTATAAAATTCACGCGAGTGTAACCGCGAACACAGCTAATAATACATAATGATCAGAGCTGACCCCAGTGACAAGAGAAATGTATATTATATAGGAAAATTTCAATTGTACCGCTATATAAACCAAAACGTTATGAACTATTGTTGTTTCAAATACCATAGCGGGTATGAATTCGTGGTCTAATCAGTAGTATTATGCGATTGGTTTATTTAAACTTCATAATTAAATATTAATATGTTACAGCCGTCGACTATTGCGAACGATTCGTCCACTGGTAGAAGCATATACAGCCAGTTGTCATTGTCTGATGACTCAAGCAGCTGATGCGGATGGTTTCGATGGCCCCATGAATGAGCTAGTGCAAACCACATTACAGAACCTCACCGACAGTTTCGCGGACAACAAAATGATATACGGTACGTGATATTCTTGTTTCTCTACATGACTTAGCAAGTAACTATACATTTCACTGGGAAATTCGTGATACAGAACAAAATTTGGCTAATTGTATTTTATGATACTACTATATTTTTTTTTATACTACAATAATGGTAAACATGCAAAAGCCTTCAAACCGGGCGTAAACTGTTAGACTACGGACGGTAGTCAAAGTTTCGCACTAAATATTTATGTTCTCAGATATACTAATTTTACTAGACATACTTTTTTATTAAATGGACATCCGCATTAAACATCTAATTCGATAAAATATATTAATAAATAGTCATAGAAAACATTAGTAAATTTGTTGTGTTCAATTAATATAGCATCGTAATATCTAAAATAGTTTAACTAATATTATTTATTTCTCCACAATTTGATACTTTATTTAGTCGACGTTAAAAAATCAATTGCCATTATTTACAGGCGAAGCGGTATCAACAGACGCCATCCGGAATTGTTTGCGATTATTGCGACAGTGGGGCGTGCTGGAAATGTACTCGGAGGGTAGGAAACGAAAGCTGCGTCTATGTACGCCATTCGCCGATCGGCAAGCACTCGATCAGGTCTGCTCAACTATCTACAGATATAATGTGGACACGCCCTTATTAGCCGATTGATTTCGCAAGTCGGTTCACAGGAGGCATTTTCTAAACTTGCATTGACGGGAACGCGGGACGTTGACCTCTAGGACTTCATCTGTGATATTTCACTGACATGTCACCAAGTGTTTACTAGTGCTTTACTATGGTAGCCGTTAGTGTTCGGTTGTTTTGAATTGCGGATTGACTATTTCTTGACCAGTGATTTGTGACTTTTTGGTGTTAGAGTTTAAGTCATATTGAATCGCATCATGGATATAGAATTAAACAGATGCATACCTATTTACCTGTCGTTATCAAGAGCCTGTCACGATGTTTCCTTTATTCTAGCATATTTTGTATGAAATATAATGTTCAGGTAATTAGATGTATAACAAGAAGATTAATGTTACAGAAAATGTAACATATCCTTGAAGTAATTTGGTGTGAAAAAATCATAACATATTTTTTTTTAGTTATATTACATTGAAAAAGTCGATTTTTATTATAATTAAGACAGCGATCAGTTTGATTTTTATTATATAGGCAGCTCTTGTAACGCTTCTCGATGCTACGACGACGTTACTGGATACGGATTGAGACATTTATTTAAGTCTATATTTGTGTTATACTCGACCGGTCGCTGTGGCCGGTCTTAGGGTAACTCCTATAATGGGTGATATTTAGACTAATCTCACACCTGTTACATTTTGTATGTTATAATTGTACAATGACGTATATACAATGTACTGATAAAGTACAATTGGCGTTATAGTGTGGTAATATAAGGACAGCCTCATTTGGCAGTTGTAGTTAGTGTTTAATTATGCATTTTTTATGCTGTTTGTACCAGGTTATTAAAATCGTACCCATAACTATTTGTATTGGTTTGACATGTATAGCATTGAATTGTACGGCGTAGCTCTGAATATTGTTGTCAAACGACTTGATTGAGTTTATAATTACATTAAAAGTAAACATAAAAGATTTATATTCTTAAATTATATTTACATACATTGAAATGTTATGTTGCAATAAAAATAATGTTTTCTAAAAGATTTTCTACTTTTTTAATAATTATTTCACAGATGAATTAAGAATTGAAGATATTTAAATTTATTATCACAAGTTGCAAGCCTGTCCAGATAATGGTATCTGCCGACGATTTTGACATCACGTTATTGAATGATAAACTGAATTGCTTATATTGATTCTTGTTCGTACGATATCATGACACAATTTTCTAATGATGTTAGAAGATTTACCTATACGCAAATGTAGATTCAATTTATTAGAGAGCAATATAGAATCGTTGCTTTTCAGATTATGTTCGTCGTTATTATCAATTGGATAAGTATACGTAAAAAATGTATCTATGAAAAAGGAGGTAGTAGAATAAAATACTTGGCACCTGGCAAAGGTTCATAGATTAGTCATTCGTGGTATGTTTCTAAAGAAATATAGTAGTAATATAAATATTAAAACTTTGGATATTATTAAGCAAACTCGAAGATTATGGCTAAAAATATATGTACGTGTTAACTGTGATGCATTTTATAAATGTAAACATTAAGCAGTATCTAAAGATAGGGAATAATCAATTGTTCGCTCCTAATGGTCTGCGCAGTCGAAGAGGATCCTCGGAGCGTTTATTCAATCAAAATATACTAATTACGGATATTAAATATTCGGAATATCAAACTATAGCATGAGTTGTACCTCAAATTTATTAACATATCTGTGAAGTAAAAGGTAACTTTCCTATGTGTTAGCCATTGTTCGAGATATTAGTTCTTTGCTAATAGACACATCTCACGTGTCCGAAAGTCAAAGGTGGTCTGCGGGAATTTAATTTTTATACAGAAGAGAATGTATAAAATTGTATGCAAATTTACAATAACTGACATAATTTAATGACAAATACAAAAAAAATCCCACGATAGAACCGATAAAGGAGTTACAAATCCATAGTTCAGCAAAGGTAGACTTTCTGCAAAGATGTTTCCGTGGGAACCTCGGCTTTACCTATTTTAGCAAGCAAACAACTTGCAGTATAAAACGTGATTCGTTTAAGAGAGATATATAGTAGTAAATTGTAGGTACGAAAGCATAACATACAAGTTCTCCGGTATGGTAACGAATGAGTGGTACCACGGAAATCACATTACATGATATATCTGCTTGTAGTGTATACAGGTTACCACTTAACATTAAGTATGTCGTTAGCATGTTTGTCATTCCAGTAACATGTCCTCTCAGTACCTTACAAATAATATTGAAACCCTGAGAATAGAATATGAATTAGGTTGCATATAACATTATAAAGAAGCAGGTTTCGTCGTTTTCACCTTAACAATGTTTTACTAAATAATGAAATGGCATCTACGAAAGCAAATCCTAATAAACTGGTTTAGTGCTGAATATGTAACTCTCGCTATCTATGGTCATGTCACCAAAGTCAGTCTTTGTTTTATTCTGCAAACTGATTTTGATAGAATTGGAAATGCCTAAAGATATTCTATTTCCAACAGAAGTGTTGGTAATGAATATAAACTTATTTTTTATTTTTGCAATAAATTGTATTTGGAATAATTTAACACAGAAACGCTCGCTACTAAAGGTTTTATTAGAAATCTTTAATGGATGGCTTAAAGATTTTACACAGCATAAAGTTTTTAGCATAAATTACCACCCGCAAAGCAATTATAGCAATCAATGATAACTTTAATACAAAGACTGACCGTACATACTTCATCTCGAAAAAGTCTGTAATATAATTGGGTATTTCTTAATTCTCTGACTTGATTTATCCCATCCAGAGTCATTAAAAATTTCATTTACTTCTAAAGAGTTGCTGAAATACTATTTTTACAAGTCTATTGACTTTAGGACTTGGAATATTTCAACGTCAGCATGCAAATTGTGCCGAAAGCTTACAGTACCTTCGCATTATTGTGCATCGTGGTACAGACTAAATAAACAATGTTGTAATACTCTTTTAGATAGATATAGTTTTGGCATGCAAAGATATGGAAAAAGAAAATGAACAATAAGAATAATAAACAATGTTTGTAAATATTCTATGTTTTATTTTATAATTATAATTATCACATTATTTTTAAAGTCATCATCAGATAATCTAAATTCTCCCATAAATGCTTATCGCTTTTTTATACATAAATTATTAGGTATTCCATTTGATAGTACCTTAGAAGTGGAATATCATTTCAGAGAAAATAATAGCATATAACGTTATTGATAGCCAAAATACTCGCTGAAAATACAGTAAAATGTTACAATTAAGAATATATGTAAATTGTCCAATATTTTAACAACAGTATTTTTTAATGTTAATATTTTTTATTTAAATAAGACTTAATTAAAAAGAAAATGTTTATATAAATTAAGTGTATAATTATTTTGCCTCATTTGTTGTAGCTTGTATTCTCTTAGTCTAGGCAAATAGATGAGAAGTAATCTCTGAAATTTAGATGCCTGCTTGATGTGATCTTCAGTTTTCAAATGAGTATTAAGGTTTATCCAGCCATTAATATAGTGGTTGCAAAAACCGCAGTGGAACATTCCAGATGTCGCCTGAATCAATTATTACTTTATTAATATATAAAAATATTAAAATCAAAAACAATATTTAATATATCAGCATAAAATAAGTAAGACTGGCTTTTGGACATGACATTTAAAAAAATCCATAAAATATAATCAAAATATGGCAATTTTAGGATTATTCCTTAAAAGATTTCATGCTCTTGTTATAAAATTCATATTTAACTATGTAATAATATACTACACAGCCCCTGTGTAATATATTATTACATAGTTAGTGATGGTTGACTGAAGACCCCATTGCTTGCAATATCATGTCAGGTTGACCTCCACGCGGTTCCCCATCGAAACCATCTTCACAAATTCCTGTTTAATTCGTCACGCCGGCCTAACTGACCTGATCTTATGCTCATTCTACCGACCTCCACTGGTGTCCCGAAAGCGTAAACCGTTAGCAAAGCGCATATTTTTAATCTATGATACTATATGTCTATTCTATGGTTATCAATTCATTATTTGTAAGTATACAAAATAATGTATTTCAAGTAATATATCAATAAACTTACCTGTCTGACAAATTCATTCGTCAATGACGTCACCACAGGTATATCTCTAAAAACCGTAGAATGACTGTCAGATTTAACATGTGATGATGCCTGTTCTTCATATAAAAGAATTTCGCAGATATCGCATTTCAATATATAGGGATGAACAGGAGACAACATAAAGAAACTTAACTTTGATAAACAATATTTATTGTTTATGAAAGCAAGATCCTTTGTTAATGAGACGTCATCGAAAAATATACGGGACGATATCTTTTTCAATACCGTCATTTCACTTTTTAAAAGTAACATTTTATGTTTTGCGCCGTTTACATGTTCTTTCATGGAGTGTAAGGATGAAGGAAATTTCTTTTCACATATTCGGCAGTATGTGTTGCGATTGTTTTTATTATATGTTAGGTGATTTGTTTTTGCATATGTAACTGGGTCATTTTCTGCTTTGTTGGAATCATCATTAATATCCATATTGTCATCTATAGAACTCTGATCTGATTCTTCGTGATTTTCGTTGCCTTTATTACGGTCTCCATTGACATTCCCATAGTCTTTAGAATAATAAGGAACGATAGGTGCACTAATGTCATTCGTCGTACTAGTATTCGTCACTGATGTAAAGTTTTTATGTTTATTGTCTGTTTTCTTAAGTGGTTCACTTGTTTTTGCCTCACATTGAAACGGCACGTAATGTGACAGAAATCTTTCCTTGGCTGTGTGTATTTTTTCATCAATATGTTTTTTTATGGATACAAAATTGAAATCTATGTTTGTAAAACATTTCTTGCAAAATGCAGTTTCAGTTTCAAAATTTATGTTCACCTCATTTTTTTCGAATTTTTGTACATTCTCTAATATTTTGTCCAGATTTCTTTCTTTAGTAGTGATATCATTATTATAGCTTGTAGTTAAGTCACTTATAATATTAGAAGAGCCAATTTCACTTCTTTTAATGTCACTGTTAAAGTCAAAATCCTCAAAGTCTTTTTCCTCTGGTTTATCGTCCATTTGAGCTGAAATTGGTTTTATTTTCGGATCACTTACTATTTCATGTTCAGATTCTACAAGTAATGTATCAGAATTAACCGTGTTATTAGTAATCTGCAGTTTGGTTTCATTTTTAATGTCAACATCATAAAAATTCGTAGGAATTTTGATTTCGTTATTATTTATAAAAGCATTATATAATTCACTGCATTTTTTCATATGCTCATGATGAATTGCTTCGTTCAAATGTGACTCAATAAAATTTTTTGACAATATACTGTTGCATATCAAACACTGATAAGTGTTATCATCGACCTGAAATTATATTAAAACAACAGTTTATGTACTATGTAGACTTTTCTTGTTTCATAAATGTCAATACGATTTTAGTCGTAGAAAGAAACAGACCAACAAAGTGTCGTATTTATAAAATTAATGGGACCATATTTTGGATTATTTTTTATAAATTACAGTATGTACATTCATACTTATGTATAATAATTAGATACTCATATTTATACAAAATTATCTTATCAATTATAATTTTATAATGTATAGAATATACAGGTTGCACAAACTAAAGCTCCAACATTAAAAACTTCTTCAATAGATTCCATGACTTGAGATTTGACCGACAGAAGAGTATTCATCTTTAAATACTATGGTAATCGATGCTCAGCATCAGGCGGACCATGTCATAATAATATCTAAGGACAATTCACACAGAGCCATCTAATTCCAAGCTAAGCAGAGCTTGTGTTATGGGTACTAAATAACTGATATAAATGCACAGATAATTTTTTTTTTGTAAGTACATACATAATACACCTAGAAAACACCCAGACCGAAACAAACAATCATGCTCAAAAATACAAATGTTTGTACCTTGCGAAGAATCGAACCCGAGCTCGTATGTAAGGCGGTGTGCTGAACCTCTAGACCACGAAGGCTAATGTTACAACCGTATCAATTGTTTTCTCATATACCTACATATCTTCCATGTCACACAGGCAGTGATCAGTTTCATTGTTATTCATATACATATGTATTTAGAAACATCGTACTTACCAGACGGTAAATAGCTTTGTGTGGTCCAAACACAATTTTTTTCTGTATTAAATTTATAACGTGAGAAATATGCGTTTTGTGAATATCTTCATTATGAAATTCCGTGATGCATATACAGCATGCATTGTCTTTGAGGCCGTGCCATGATTTGACGTCGATTAACAGTTCGTCGTAGGCTAATATGTGGTGTCTTTCTCGTTTCAAAACGTTGGATTTTTTGTTCATTATATGACTTTCCTCGTTTATATGCAAATTTATTTTGGATAAAATTGGAAACAGCAAATTGCAAATCTCGCAATAGTATCCAACTGAGACCTGTGATTCATAAAGTTTAATATAAGTGTACTAACTCGTAATGCCAGAGGTATACTGCATAAAGCATTTTTTTCATTGATGATAATCGAATGGTGCACCTGCCTGCGTTAACGGTATACGCTGACAGGTGCAGTGGAGGTTGTTAAGATGAACGCATAGTGTTCTGCGTACCTGTCTCACCCATTTCAGCCACCCGCAAAGCAGCTGCTATGTAGGCTGTATTTCAGTCGAACGGTGACACAGGGCAGTGAAATAATAGGTTACGACATAACAACTTAGCCTCCGTAATGGAAACACAAGAGAGGTGCTGGGTTTTTTTTACGGATGATAATATAATGATGCACCCGCCTGCGCTAACCGCCTGCGGTTTACGCTGGCGGGGTACCAGTGGGATGATAAGATGAACATGAAGTCAGGTCAGTTAGCCCATCGTAACAAATTCACCAGGAATTTATTACGATGGTTTCCAGGGGGAACCGCGTGGAGGTCAACCTGACATGGTACATTGCTAGTGATGGGGTCATGAGTCCACATTACTAACAATCCTCTTACCCCCAGGGGTACTGGGTTGCGTCGTTCGATTAAGTAGTGCCCGTGGTGCTCTTCTTGTGTATGGGCGACGGTTGCCACTTTCCACCTTCATGTATATAGGTGAGAGTATCTCTTTTCCACCATAGTGACTATCAGGTGATTTAGCATTTCACATTTACATTATATACCGTTTCGTTCGATGAAGCTGCAAAGGCCAGCGTCAGCCAACAGAGATAGTTTGATAAGGAGTGGTACCTATTTATAAATCTGACTCATTTTAGATAACAAATACTATGTTTGCTATTAATATTAATATAAAATATTACAAATTTATAATGAATTAAAAAATGCTATACTATCAGTAATATGCTGATATATAATAATCGCCATAGTAGCTTATATACTCCTAGTATTAATTTGGCATACCTTTTTAATACGGTCATCTTCATATTTCTCGATGTAGTCAGTCTTGGAATAGTTCTTTTTGTGAATCGGTAGTAATATATGCATGTCTGCCTCATGAGTACTTTTCAAGTAAATATTACAAACGAGACACAGCATATCTAAGTTACTTGTCATTATACTGTTCTTATTGTATTTTTTCATCGTTCTGATCTGAAAATAAAAGCAAATATAATACAATACACTAGTTAGTAGATGTTGATGTTACATACCAACAATTGATGTAGAAAGAGAAGAGAACAAAGGCAAACAATGTTTGATTATTCTTGTTGTAAAATAGAGGACTAAGATATCATTAATTATACTAACATACCATTAACAAATGTTTAAAATTATATAAAGAAGAATGAAGATAACTAATGAAAGAAAGTTAAATTCCCGCTACTTCGTCCGCGTGGAATTTAACTTTATTTATCCAAAATAAAAGATTTTTTCTAAAATTAAAGTAGCCAATGTTACTCCTTACGGGACTTTTTTGGCAGATAGCTGATGTACTACCTGCCAAAAAAGTCCCGTCAAAATCGGTCCAGCCATTTCAAAGATTAACCGGAACAAACAGACAGACAGATATTAATTATAAAAGTTAACGTTTTTTATTATCTTTGTTTGTTTGGTGTATGTACCGTATTTATATTCATATGCATGTAGTAAAAAACGGTTATTTCATTATTACAATCAGACACTACAATTATGCAGACTGTATATATTAATTTAGCAGAATACTCTGTTAATATTAAATAGAGCTGATTATTCAGCTAATTAAAAACAATGTCTTTATTTATTTAATTCAACATATATAAGAAATAATAATAAAATATAAAATCAAATAGTCTCTATGGTCATGGCACTGACAACGGCAATCTTTCACGGCAGCGCCGTTACACCACCCCTTCCGCCAGTATGTTGTTATTCAGTACTCTTTAACGCAGAATCTACTGAACGAATATTGATGAACCTTTACAGTAATATAGCTTATGTAGCTTTATAATAATATAACACATAAGCTATGTTTTATTTTGAAATTTATAGGGCATAGCTAGTACTATATAATTTAAAAAAAAATTATACGAGTAAACTGACGATTAAATCCTAGAACATCACATTCCGACCTAAAAAGACAGACTTAAGCCACAATGTGGGTACACCCTTAACTGTAAACGAATACAGGAAACAGCAAAACACTGATAACATCACACTTCATGTAAAGTAGGGAAAGAAGGTGGGGTTAATTAGTAACTGCGACTAGTGGTTTTATGCAATTACCAATGTACCATATCAGGACTGACCTCTCTTTACAGTCATCTATCATCATAACTGGGGTACCGGCACCGTCAACGTATACCCTATTAATTCATTATTATTACATATAAATCTATTAAAAACGTATCTATTTAAAAAAATATAATGTTGCAATATAATTAGAAAGTTTAAAGGTACTCACAATCTTCCGAAAATAAAAAGAAACAGTCACTACTATTAGTAAACTAGACTTTCGGTCGGATAACTATATATACGACTTTAATGCAATACATTACATTAAATCGTTATCGCTCAAATTTTTTTTCAGAAATCCCGACCATAGACAAAAGAAGTGTTGCCAAAACAATTGTTATAGTTGCCAAAAAAATTATAAAGTAGAAAGCAGAGACACTTAAAAATTAAATATTATTTTACAAATAGCATAATAAAAAAAATATCCTCACCCTTTAACCGAGACATATTCATAATAAGAAAGTTGTATCGCGGTTGAAATAAGTGAGAGAGAAGTATGAAGGGTTTTACGAGAAAAATTGGAATAAAAGAATTTTACGTCTTTACAGAACAACTATTATACAAAAAAAACAAATTAATTTCTTCTTTTTTACAAAGTAGACAGATACAATAGTCAATAAGTGACGATGATGATTTTGTAACAAGTGGACCACGATAATTACTAGTCTATAAGATAATACATACATACATAGATTATTAATTAATAGTAGTATTAAAAGCTCAGATTAAAAATCAAGACCACTATGAAAGGATCATCTATTTCTTAATGCTAAAACGAGAGCATGACCTATTCGTTATCTTTGATTTGTTTTCCGTAGTTCCTGTTAAAATAAACTCCCTTTCTGCTGCAAGGCAGATAGAAAGATACACATAGAATGAACAATCAATATTTGAATATATTGTACAAATAATTAATAAATATAAGAGCTTAGTTTATGAGAGTAAATAATTTTAACAGATATATCTGTTAAAATTTTCTTGTACATATTGATAAAATTATGAGAAAATTAGATCACATTAATAACGCAACTGTAAAATTTTTACTCAACACTACATTTATCAAAAGAGCGTAATTGGGTAATTCTTTTATTCTAGCTACACCAAAAAATGACGTAACGCCATTTCCAACAACGAATTCCCACCACATATTTTCTCCATTATGGAAGATGGTAGGAACAAAGTTGCCAGGTGCTGGTAGGTTAAATTTACCTGCTAAGTTCCCTTTACCTTTCCGTGAAAGGATAACCAACCGAGATTAAAAACAAACAAAAAATATTGTTTTTGTATTTTGGTTTTAATATCTGAGATTTTTTTGTACTGTTTATCCTTTAACGGAAAGGCAATGAGAACTAAACCCATACAGTCATGTCTCCATGTTTTTGATGTTCTTAATTTGATTAGAGTATTTTGTATGTCTTGAATTGTTGAGATAATATAGTCGCACAATGCAAAAAATGTTGTTGAGTTTCTTAATAGTTCAGTGCAAAATATGTTCTTAAGTGTTATAATAATTCCTGTAGAGGGCGCGGAACACGCCTCCCACCATGACAGACTCTAAGGCGTCCTACCCCGGATAGAAGAACTCGTTGTATAAGAAAATGCTGACACATCAGAACACACACTCCCCCCTATTCGTTAGACCACCCGAAATTCATCACCACGAAGAGCACATCAACGCTCATTTCTCAGATTTCAGATATTTATCTCGGAGATTAAATTGATAGTATAAATATAAAATTATCAAATAATGTTACCAACTGTAGCGGGGTAGTACTGTACCTGCCGTACCGATTAAATTAATCAGAAGTTTTATTTTAGAACGTAATTGTTAAAGTTTTATACTATGTTTCCATAACACAATTTCCAAATTTACGTACGTATACTTCTGCCTCCGCAAAAATGCATTTTTATAGTTTCCGTACATACAATACTTTTAAAATTGTTAATAACAATAACAAAAATTGACCTAATACATATTATTATAATAACATTTAGAAAAACTTTTATCCTGTATATAGCAACACTTAAGTTACATGCCGTTATACCTAGAGATGGACATTCGATACTCGATATATACAAAAATCGATAATGTATTCATTATTTATGATATGAATGATGACAGCGTTTTTAGGCCGTAAATATTTGATTTTATCTTTTACAACATTAGATTATCGAAAAGAAACAGTTTGTAGAAATCGATTATATATGTATTTTTTAAAAAATAAATCGTAGATTTTATTTTTTACAATCTCAGTAAAACGAAATTAATCTATTAATTAATTACCATTTTTTATGGTAACCTACAATAATAGATTTGAAATATGATGCACAATATTATTTTTTGACTAATAATATGTTTCCATGTTTTTTATTTACATCATAGTACTGCTACAAACTTAATTCTGCTTCTTGATACAGAACACAAACTATATTGAGATACTATAGAAACCTAGGAACCCAAGAATTATTAAAAGACAAATAAAACCCATTCTTCATTTTATTTAACTAAGCAATAGGACTTGTTGGTCACTTAAATATGGGGTATTAAAAAGCCTTGTAAAAAGAAGTCGATTATAAATTAATCGACTGTTGGAATATTATAATCTATAAGACTATCGATTTTTTTGGATTATTTCGATTTTGGATAATTTTTACATCCCTAGTCAACAACACTTACAGACACTGACAGAAGTAAGACAGATTTATATTTGAATTACTTGCTGTCGTTCGTGTTATAGTGCCTTGTTGTTATGGTAAAATCGAATTGTATATTTTTATAGCCAATGTTAGTTTACTATAAATACTAATAATTATCGTTATGATTTTTTAATACTATATCTCAAAGTTATACGTGTGCTAAAATGTGTGATAATGTTTGTGTGTGGTGCTTATATATCTTGTGTTTGATACATTTACTGGCCGTCACAAAGAACGGCGTCGAAGCTGGTGAACTGAGTAAGCATTACTATTTTACTTTACAACAAATATACAAACAAGAAATGTTATTGTTTTTTTTTCTGGTAGACATTTAAAATATTTGATATTGACTATCTATTGGTGTACTTTACATTGGAAGATATCATTTTAAATTTACTGAAGAGAGTACTGAATTTTATTTTTAATTCAACTACAAGGCCATCGTTGAAATTCCTATTAAGTACCAATAAATAGTAAATTATCATATAAAATAATAAATTTCTCACCTGTCATCAAAAGCATACATACTCCTACAATATTTACATTATAATGCGACATATGAAATTAAAGAATAAAATATTTTATTATTTATGTATTATTATATTACACAACAAACCTCTACTCAACCAAACAGATTTAATTAAACAAAAAAAACTTAATCCATACAAGATTCAAAGCCATATTTTCTAGTATATGATGTTTATGATATAACTATAATTTAATTTGTAAATGTAAAATTTCTATATTCAATTTTTTTATTGTTCAAATTTACATTCATCTTGAATGTAAATTTGTTAACTTAAAATATCAATAATATAAAATTAATACTATTTTCCGTCTTACAAAATTTACTAGTATTATTTTATTACTTCTTAATAATAAAGATGTAAAATGAGTATACTATATCAATAAATCTAACATTTATAGTCTGTTTTTTAATCTCATAGACTATATTGACAGGTGTAAATATTAAAATTCCTAATTTTACATACTGCAGGTATATAGTGCTGTACCTACAATATACGAGATACAATCTATTTAATGAATTGTAATTTTTACATTAGTTTTAAAGCTTACAATAAATATTTTCAAAATTTTCGTTCATACACTAGTATTTCCATTCTAAATAACTAATTTTGTTTTAATGCATTGTAAATGAACACTTACATAATTTTATTTCTGTTACATTTAAATATTATTTGAGTGTAACTGAAATAAATCTGGATTAATATTGATTTCCTATTGTGCTACATCACTGTTCAAGAATAACATAAATCTAGCAACAAAGGTCAATTTAGTTTTAAAAATCAGACTATAGTTCAAATATAAAACCATAAAACTATAATAAACAAAACACTAAATAATAAATTTGCGGAGAAAGTTACTCTACTTAAAGTTTAAGGGAAGATATAACTATCATATTCTATAGCCTGTAAGAAAAATGTAAATAAAATTTTGGTGGTCTAGATTTGTCTAGCCATGAATTCTGTAAAGAATGTGGGATATTTTTAGATTTATATATTGTTGTTTATATTTTTACATTGTTGTTACGTAAAACTGTATTGCAAATGTAATGGAAATAAATATAATATTTTCTTTTTAATGAAATGAGAAATCTTCCTAGACAGAATTATATTTTCAATTTACTTTGTCTACTATTTGCAGTATAAAATAAATTATAGTCTTGTACTATATTTTTTTCAAAGTACTAGTAAGTAGTATTCCCATTATAAGTTCCACAATGACAGGGCTTATTTAACCCCAAGTCATATTCTGATAGAATAAAATTGACGGTGAGCTGATTGTGGTAAATTAATATGGATAAATGTTGAAAGAAAATTTTCTCTATTTTCACTAAACTTCAACAATTTACATTCTATGCACTATCTACAGGCGTTCACTTATTTTTTTATTACATTATTCATAGTTATTCTTTTATTATTAATAATTAATAGGGTTTTAGAAATAGCATATGACAATGCTTTTTCTTAATTAAGTAGGTCACTTTTTCTTGTGAAATAAATTTTTGCCAATTAAATCCTATTATTTTGTCATTTTTAATTTATTAAACAAACACCGCCAACACAAAATGTGAATGTTTCAGAATCAGAAAGGTTAGAACTCTGAGCTAAAAGGGTCATTAAAAATGATAGTAATATACGGTAAAAGGCACGATATCGCCGGACATCCCGCTAGCGACCGTATCCGCTATTGCATCGTCATTGTACTTCTATGTTATTACCAAATAATGCCTGAATCTTTTAAAGTTTTGTACTGCTAAGAAAAGTGTAACTGTTAATATAATAAGCCTGTAAGTCCATCAGACCATAAAGAAAATATCTATGCTACCAATACCAATTCCGTTTAAACACGGAAAACTCAATTCCTACACGAAATAAATTCACGCGGAATATTTTTATGATACCTCTCTTTTACATTATAATATTTTTTTCTTCTGAAAACAAACTTTAACACTAGTAGTTATATCGATTTCATATTGGTTTTTATATTATTATTATATATTTGTTCTAACGTAAACTAGAGTCTTCGTAGGTGTCAATTAGGGATAGGTACCTGCCCCAAAGTTAAGCTTTCTGCGAATAGAGCTGTCACATATTCAGTTAATTTAAAATATTTTGAACAAATGGAAATAATTTATTCAAAATATAAGTCTGTGAATCTTGCGTATGGTAATACAATAATAATTATTCTTATATTATTCTTACTTCAATATTCTTCCATACGCAATCTTGCACATACAAATATTTGCACCATGCGAGGAATCAAACCCGCGACGCTTATAATTTTATCGGTGTGCTAATCCGCTAGTCCACCGAAACATAACACTACTAACATTCCCCCGTCCAGTTGTAGTAGGTGGACCCCGTCGTCCACGGCGCGCTTTTGAATCTTAATTAAAAGTGGAAGTTCTCCATAAAATAACTTGATGTATGAAGACGGCAACCACCAAAGTAGGTTTCCTAATTGGGCATGCCGTCGGAAACAACGTTTTACACGTCACGGGCTCCGACAGACAATCATGACTATTATTTGCAAGCTTGCGAATCACGACTTTGAAACGACAAAACGTGATTCGAAATTTAAATTAAATGCTGCGATAATTGTAACGACAGTTATATTCCGTCAAATACAAGTCTTATAACTGATTTAAACTAAATTAAAAATATAATCTTTAATTCTTACTTTAGAAGTTACGTTAATTCATGAAAATGGCTGAAAAGGTCAAAATCTAACATATAAGACGGTCTTACTGTCACTACCTAATCATAGATTCTATAAAATAATTACATTTAATATAAAAATGTTGTATTGATACTGTATTAAAAATGTTTTTTTAGATTTTGCACGTTAGTCTCTTTTAAAAAGCATCATTTATTACCTATTTACCATCAGGTGAGCCCAATATATTGTAGGACATTGCAAGTAGGTATATAAAAAAAGACTATTTTAATTCTTTCTTAGTAATAATAATATTTTAATTCTTTTATAGAACGTTACATAATATGGGCTGCATTTTATTTAAAAAAATATAGAGAACTCTACAATAAATGCAACCGTGCGAGACCGAGTGTGTCGCTAGTGAATATATTATTAGGTAGAGAGACTACCGGATGTCAGTATTGTTAACTGTTTGATGAATCTGCAACTATCTGCATACGGTTCCGTTGGGAATACATACTGGTGAATCAACGTTTTCCGACATACTGACTCATTGTCTAGATTCTAGACTCTATACTCATAAAATAATAATTAATAGCCTAATAAAAGTGCCTAGTTAACACTAAAAATTAACAAACTTACTAGTTCCTCTAAATTAAAATTATGAAGAGAAAATATTTGATATTTGATATATCAATAACTAAAGAAGTATTACACTGATTTTTATTTTTTTCACCTATACATGGATACCTTATCAGTGAGTAACATAAACTGTATTCTATGTGGTGGGGGATATAGCTAGTATTGGTTAAGATATTATGATAGAAGGCAAATATAACTTGAGAAGGGACAGGAAGACGGTATTTAATATCAATGTCGATGATGACTTACACCATAAAATCATGACCGAACGTTGCTAATTGTATGAGTAAGTACTCAATCGCTCACCGTGCTGCGAATAGGGCTATGCTCTGAGTTTTACTGCGTGATCGCATCCATAACGAAGAGAGAAGAAAACGAACCAACGTGACTGATAATTTTTAATCTAAAATAACAATAGGTCATACAAATCTCAAAAAGAAACTACTGATAGGAAAGAGTAATATCGAATGAAAAAGAACTCGCACAGGCAAATACTTGTTGGTTGGAGAATTAATATAAGTCGGTGGCTGAGGTTAGAATTAACAGTATCTCAAAATCTATACAAATTAGATTTATAAGAATACAGGAGCAATTAAAATGTTTAAATTTTTCTTTTTATCTTTAACTACACAAAGAAGGCTAAGGCAAAATAATTACAAAGTAATAACCTAACCTAACCTGATATATAGCCTATAATCTTCCTTTGAATTGGGTTATCCAGCAGTAAAGGAATTTTCAAAATCGGATCCGTAGTACTGGAGATTATCCCGAACATCCAAACTCACAAACTTTATCTATTTATACCATTACTTTAAACTATATATATTGGAAAAGAGATGCCTCATCTTGCAATAAGCGTATAAAATGAATAGTTATATAATTTACAAATTTCTAAATTAGAACTGCACTAACATCCGCTCTTTTACGCCACGTGCATACGTTACTCACTATTTCTGTTTGTTTTTGTAAGTTTTTATAGGTGTTTTAAAGTTATTACTCGTTTGTGTGTTTATGGGTGTAATACGGTGACAGATGTACATTTATGCATCACCAGACTCGAGAGATTACTCACGTCAAGACTACCTCAGCACTTGAGCTATCTGTGTGATAGTGATAAACAAAATGAAATATATATGTATATATATCAGTGTAACATTTAACATTAATGTATTTTTATGTTTACATCGTTAGTCTAACCACATACACCTCTAAAAGTGTTACTTTTTGCTAGTGACTACTGTATTCCCAGATCAGGAGGTCGATTGTAACTCCAAAATTATTTAGATCTTATGAAGGACTTTGCTGATAAAACAAGATATGAGATTTATTGCTGTTAAATTTCGTTTGTATGTACATCCTTAGTATATTTGAAGATACTTCCCTCATTTTTAATTAAACGCCGTGGTTGTAAACTTTTGATATTCATACTAATATTA